AGCAGAGTGGATTTTAAAAGCGGCCTCAGACACACCCTGAGACTCTGCGGCCAAAAATGCAACGTGCCGAGGTGTTTGGAAAATATTCCTGTGACTGTTCCATCCTGAAGACTTTTTTTTTTTTAACGTCTTCTTTTTTCACACTAGAGTCCAGGTGATAAAGTTGTCTGTTTACGTTCACACATGAAGCTCACCTTGAAAATGTTGGGAAATTTACAGGGGGTGATTCAGACCTGATTTCTGAGTGGTATACGGCTGATTTTGCGATCAGTTAGATTTTAATTCAAATTGCGCAACGTTGGCCGTGCAATGTTTACTGAGGCACGGCGGCCAATCAGGACAGATCAGCTGCTCCCCCGACCGGTCGATTTGATTTTCTTGCATCTTGACATTTTGCACACACTCGCACAGTGAGAGCAGAGCCACGAGCCGATTACCCTCCAGGACTTTTCCCCTGATTCTACCAACAACAATTTTGGCTTGTGTATTTAAACAAAAATAATGAAACATCTAAATAAACGACATCACTCCTCACAGAAAATGCTTAGATATAGGTTTTAAATCTTTGAAACAAACTTGAATCCCTGAACATACTTTGTCAGAACCTGATTGTATTTCCTCAAAATGGAGATGAATTATTATATACATGAATCCCTGACTTATTTTAAAATATGTTTGTGCTGCCGGTTGGACAAAAAGATCGTCGCCCCCCTCGTCGGGGTCAGAGCGATGTGGTGGCAGTGACCTCGGCTCCCCTCCTTCACCTTTAGGTGTTGATTGCTTTAAGAACCCTAAATCTAGATTGAGGGCTTTTCCCATGGAGATTAGACGATCTGGTTTAAAGCTGTTTCAACAGGTCGCTTGTGAGGGGTCAAAGGTCAATTACATAGTAGTGCCTAATGGTAGCGAATAACGTCAATCACCTTAAACGGACCAACGGCGAGACTTGTGCCTGACTTTGGGCTGGAATGTGGAGAATCCAGAGGTTAAGCTGGTGGTGGTATGGAGTGGCTAACTGGACACACACACACACACACACACATATATACACACACGCTGGCCAAACTCACTCATCGTAAACTCCTTTGCCAGGCGATCAATCTTAAAGTGACCTCATTCAATCTGCACATCAACACACATCCTATAACTGAGGAGGTAGAGTGATCAACAACAAACTGATCGACTCTGTGTCACAGAAAAAAAACATGAATTCATGTCAAAGTAAACACAGAAAAGAAATCCTCACTTTAAGGAAGTCAATCAAATTCCAAAGTTGAATGAAAGTCCTGTATTTAGACGTTTCATTAACAATGTTATGAAATGGTATCATCACATCTTCACCTATCAGGCTGCACAGTGCTGCAGTGGTTAACACTCCTGGTTTGAATCCTCGTCAGACAGGAGTCTTTCTGAGTGGAGTTTGCATGTTCTCTCTCCGGGTACTCAGCAGTCCAAAGACATGGCCGTTAGGTTAACTGGTGAATCTAAATTTCATAGGTGTGAATGTGAGTGTGGCTGGTTGTCTGTCTCTGTGATTGACTGATGAACAGTCCAGAGTGTAACCCCGGCTCTCACCCAATGACTGCTGAGATCGACTCCAGTTGTTTGCTAAATGTTACAAAAGCACACATAACATATTGATAAGCAGGGGGAACATATTGGAGCTTGACTTAAGAATAAGAGTTGAATTGTACACCTTATAAGGCTTTAATCTTTGCTCTCTAATCCCCTTCTTCTTCTTCTTCTTCTTCAGTTCAGATGAAGTTTTTTCAGATGAGAACTCTTTTGGCTCCAACGCCTGCCCCTCCGAATTAAAGTTCATGATTTGTTATGACAAATCAGACTGACTCGGTAATGAATGACTTAGCCTGAGGCGCACAAACAAACGACGATGCTGTGTTACCATAACAACAGCGATGACTCAGCCCTCACCTGCTCCGATGCGCCGCCTGTGCCAAATGTAGCTTTTACCCTGTGCACATGTTGAAGTCATAAATAAACTCTCGCTGACAAAGGATGAGCTTGTCTGTTTTTGTCTGTATTGAACATGTTGTTAAAATTATGGAACATTTGCATTTTGGTCATTTTAAAGTACAGAGCTAAAAGGTGAGGATCAGAAACGATTTTTATGTTAAGTTATGTCTGTAAATCATGTGTACATGCCATGGCATTACTTAACTTTACTTACACATTTTACAATGAATAAGTGAACGTAGACATGTCCTTATATGCCGAGGTCACAGCTTAAAAATAAAGGTAGATATCAGTCTTAAAAGCTGCTCTCTTAGACGACTGCAGCATGCATACTTTTTAGGAAAAACTGGGTTTGGAAGGAAAATGCCCTGATGCCCTGAATCTCACAGCGTGTTTGTGGTTTCAATCCTTAAATTTGATACCATTTCAAGTGCAGAATCATTTATAGCTCACCCTTAACATTTAACATGATGCTGAGGCCCTGCATGTCTCTACTTATAAGACAGGGGCCTTGCCTTGTTACTCAGTTTTGCACCATGGTTTAAATTGGTTAGTCTGGAAATACCAAAAACTAACCTGCAGCTCTGATGCAAAGTTATTCAGTTATATATTTTTGTTTGATTTTATACATCAATCTGAAAGCTTCAAACATATTTGCAGGATCATGTTGTTGCAGTCTGATGCATCCTGGGGTACAGTTCAGCCCTGTGTTTCTATATGCTGGGTTTGTTTCCATGCCTCCCTCGCTCTGAAGAACTCTTCCACAGTGAACAGCACACTGCAATCAGGCTCGGTTTATGGCAGCCAATCTGCCATTCACCAGAGACCAAGATTGATGACGCCTGTCCCGACTGACTGGCCCTCAGAGCGAGACACCGCTATCCGACATGCACCGCACACTCATAAAACCTCAGTCCGTGTGTTCGGGGACAAACAAGGAAACGTGTCCATAAATTCTCACTTGTTTGAGAAATGTGAAGAAGAAGAAACAGTCTGAATCTCAATGATTAAACAGCTGGAAACGTCTCAACATCCTGGTATCCCTCAGTCAGTTTGCCCTTTTGACCCTCTGACCAGACTCCTTACACTAACTAGACTCAATGTATTCTCCCATGAATGCAGCGTTAACCGCCGCAGGCTCCCATTGACAACTCAAACGGAAGTATTTTTACGGCCTCCAAGCACCAGTGAACAAGTTTAAAGCAGCTTAATTGCAGCGTTGTCCTGATTGGCAGCTCCGTGAATGTGTCTTGGTGGGGAAGAGGCCACAGACTGTTAACTGCAGCGAGGTGCTAACAAGAAAGAAGGTTAATGAGCTAAACGCTGCACCGCCAGGACAGCTTTCAAGATGGGATACATTTCTTTATACAGACTTATGAAAGGGGCTTCTGAGAGAAGTACTGAGGCCCAGAGGAGCAAAACATATCAATTCTTAAAATTTGTCATCTTTGAAAAGGAGACGATTTGACCCTTTGTCAGTGTTTTGTTTTATAATGTTGGATTTTTATTTTTTTTTACATATCGGGTTCCGCTTATTGTGTTGACTTTTTTAAAACAAACCAATATTGTCCAAAGCAGTCACCACTGAGGTGTGAGTTGTGGAACTATTTCCAGACGTGTGCTCTTGGCTTGCAACAAACTAATCTCTGATATTTTTTTCCACTAGAGTCTTCAATCTGTACCAAGCAATAGAAACACCATTTCAGTTAGGAGAGAGTGTGAATAGGGTTTTTTTTCGAGTGTTTTAACATGTATTATTTTGGTGTGTTTGCGCCTCAGGGCCACCATAGAAACTGTAAATTATGATTGATTTTTCATCTTCCTTCCACTCAAATTCAAGTGTTTTCCTCCGGCGTTTTAATACACCATCTGTGACAAAAACAGCAAACTTTACACAACCAAACCAGGAGATTCAGATGCTTGTCTGGTACAGTAGTGACAGGAAATGAGGTAATGAGGGCCTCTCTGGGAGAGCACAGCATGGAGAGCGATGCACTGACCCGTAACAACCCAGACAGGTCCACTGAACTTTAAAGGTGAATTGGATCAGGGCCCCCGCTCGGCCACTCAGCCAAAAAACGTCCTGATGAGGGCTTAGCGGCGGCAGTGAAAGCTACCTAATGAGTGAGGAGTAATCAACACTATTAGCGGCTCCTCTCACAGCTACACTCAGGCTTCAGCGCAGCAGGTTGTAATGTGCTTTACAGCCAGACTACAGGCTGATTCACTGTGAGGGTGACTAATCAGGGGAGGGGAGTATTACTGAATCTAATGGCTTTAGTATAAATCTTTGCCATTGTGAGGCCAAAGGGGAAAAAAGGCTCTGATTAATAAGCTGAAGTGGATTTTTGCCCGGGTCTTGCACCATCTGGGGCTCTACCTAAACCGATGACCTCACTGCTTTTCAGTGGCTGCAGTCCATCCTGCAACATTTCCCTGGAAATCACAGAGCACGGTGCCAATACGACGTCCGCATCCAGAGAAAATCCTAAGAGGTCACGGAGAAGTGAGACACTACGCAGAAACTATGGAGACTATGTTTTTTTACTCTCTTCATGGTGCTGTAATGGTATAAAACCTGAAGTGTCAAAAACTGTATTTAATATAATAAATGAAATGTTAATAATACACGTTTACAAAGTTTGCCAGCTACTTTTAGGAAGGAAGAAAATGTATTAACAGACTGCTCGCTGCCTAATTGAAGGTAAGAATGGATTCAGAATCTCTAAATTAACAACAATATTTTGACTAAAAATGTAGGCTATGCTCAGGGGCGTGTCCAGACTTTTTTTGACTGGGGTGGCCTACTGACTTATGCAGGGGTGGCCCGATGTTTGTTGGCACACACAGGCAAATTAATTCAATTTTTTGTACCCTTTCTATCCCCACTATCTTTACTTATAAGTGACACAATTTGGCAACATATACAAGCATATAAGCTACTTCTTAGCTTAATTCTTCAGGGACTAAAAAACACAGATGTGTGTGAAAAGTCACAATTTAAAGCACATAAGAAATTGCATGCAAACTCTGCAAAAATACCTTTATTGGCAATTGTTTCCATTGCAAGTTAGACAGTGTGCACACAATTCTCTTGGACATTTGTATGGAGAAAGCATAGAATGCAAACTATTTATTTAGATCTGAAAGTGCAACCAATAAATGAGTTTCCAAGTGTAAAACACTGTGACAGACAACTGTGAACAAAACATATTTAGATTTGTAACAACATTAATAAGTTGTTCTTCCTTGGTACTGAGGCCTCTTCAACAACATGCTGGCAGCCCTGATATCAAATTAACCCCCCGTTTACAAAAAAAATGAAGCCAATGCCAGAAACTGTAGTTCCACATATGGCCACTTCAGAAGCACAATCTCGGTCAATTTTTTTTAGTGCCAAGTACATTTACATATACTATGAATTTGACTTGAAGCTGGCTCTAAAATAGAGTCAATGCCATGTGGCAACCTATTGAAATATGAAATCCATGAAGTGAAATCCACCAATCAGGGAATAAGAGAAATATCAACAAATGAAAAAAATAAATTACCTCCTATCTAGATAAATCAGTGTGTATGTGCAAATATGGCGACAGCTTGTTCAGTTCAGCTTTTTTCGTCACACTTTGGGACTAAAATCCTCGTCCAGAGAGAGAAAATGAAAATCACTGTGCAAAGGGCGGGAATCATGTCTGAGATTTTGTCTCTAGGTTGGGGCTAATTTAAGCTTGATTTGGATATAGTTACAATTTTTCATTTTCCATATTCATCCACCTCTCATCATGGGACCACATGTCTGTGATTAGGTCACATATTTACAGCTGAACCAGACTGATTTACAGAAGGACATCCGAAGCTTGATCCAAAGGCAACTGGACTGGTTGAAGATCCTGAAGATGTTTCACCTCTCCTCCTCTGAAAGGCTTCTTCAGTTTTAAACTTTCTGGTGGACGGAGGATTAAATTTCTAGCTCCGTCCAGCTCCTTCAGGATCTTCAACCAGTCCAGTTGCCTTTGGATCAAGCTTTGACCTGGATGACTGAGAACCTACACAGATACAGAAGTACAAGTTATGGGAAAAAGTTTCATAAGCGTTGAATATTGGATCACATAACTGTGAACTTTGACAGCTTTGACATTTTGTCGATACTGTTCCCTGCTAGGAGGCTAAAAACAGCAGCTATGGAGACTCCTGTTGTTGTAATGTAGGCCTACTTTAGATTAAGTCCCAGCTCTTTATGTGCTACATATTGTTAGCAGGCAGGTACTATCGTCTCCGCTCCTCCTGCAACAAACAGAGTTCAAAAGTTTAAACCCGGGCGGGTTCGCTTGTCGGGACGCTTTAAGCAACTTACCGACTTATGGAGCCGTAATCCTCTGTGTGTAACTGATTTAATGAACAAAGTAAAAACAGAGGCTTGATCTTCTAATCCCTCAAATACTACAAGCTTCTTGTGCTGCTGGTGTGCTGCTTTTTCTTTCCCTTGATGTTCATCAGGCCTCTAAAGCCACAGATTTTAAGATTCTGACTTATCAATTTCGCAGAGCGGAATTGGGGAGGATCTGTAATATATCAGACTGCATACTTTTAGAAGAGATCTCGGTTAAGAGCTGTGTGAGTGTGTGAGTGTGTGTGTGTGTGTGTGTGTGTGTGTGTGTGTGTGTGTGTGTGTGAGTGTGAGTGTGTGTGAGCGCGCTGGACTCTCTGGCATGTGAAAGAGATGGAATTTCATAAGCAGATCAAGTCGTTTATCTCCATGCTGAGCTCTGGACTAAATGTGAGAGATATACATGAATCTCTGAGACCTTTTATCGAAGTCCAACTCCTCTTTTTCTCCTCAGATTCACCCCCAAGGTCCTCCCCTTCCTCACACCCCCAACACATCCTCCCCCTCCCCCTCCTCATCATTCAAAGCCAAATACCGTCCGGTCAAAATAAACCCCATTCTGCTCGTTATCAGTCTAATGCATCACTTCTCATGTTAGCTTAGCTGAAGCTAATCTGTGTGTTTTCCTTGCTGCCCCCCTGCTGATATTTTTACAGGTCCTTTGAAGATTTTTTTCCCTTTCTTTTACCTCCACAAAAATAAGAAAGTTGACCTCACTTTGATCCGAGGCATCATTTTGACTCAGGAGGAAGCGTTGGTGCTCTGCAGCTGCTGCAGGTGAAATGGAGCAAAAAAGAGCCGAGTCAGGTTTGAAACCACTCTGATGGTTTGTGTTGACCTCCGATCAGGACCCAGAGTTTCCTCTCAAATTGTTCATGGTGCGTTTAATTTGACTTCATCAGAACAAATAGGTAATCTCACATTGTCCTGCAGCCAGGAGAACATGTCTGCTGATTATAGTTTATGGTTTTACAAGTTTATTTTGCAGTAGTTTGTGTGTTAGGACTTCAAGCCAGTTAATTTACTCACAAGCTTTCAGCGACACCTTGTGGTAGAACTCAATTACTACATATTTACACCGGTTCCAATGGATAATTTGGTTACTAACAAGTAGGCCTCATTTCAAAACATGATGAGCAAAAAAGTATTAAGATGTCCAATATTAAGTTACCTCAGTCAAGTTTTAATATAATTTCTTATTTTCATGCCATTTTCATGCCAGTCTATTATGGGTTGTATCTTTCTGTGTCGGAGATTTGAAATCAAATGAAAGTTTATTATGTTTTCTCAGCTGAAGGTGTTAAATCTTAAATCTCAGTTCATGTTTCCTCTTAGTGCAGTTTTGAAGCCGGAGATTGTTTCAATATTCCATTTTGTAACTCGTCTGTTTACTGCAAACAGTCGACATCATCGTAGTCATCGGAGGAGGAAGAGTTTGGGTCGGGGCTAACAGGCGAGTAAAGCGGGTCGTCTTCTTCATCACCTGATTAGATGATTACAAAGGTCAGCAAATGCAGATCTCATTGTTGTAACGTTTGTTTGTGTCATGTTGTGTTGAGTGACATTTACCTGAACTTTGCTGGTGTTTCTGCCGTTCAGATAAATGTTGATCGTTGTGACAGATGAGCTTTAAAGTCTCCTTTATGCTCGATGCCTGGTTCGGCCCCAGCTCTGTAAGACAGCAAAGGTACGACACGCTCAGACCTGACACATCTTAAAAAGGATGTCAGAGACAATTCTAGATTGTTTTATCTTCTTTCACATCTTCTTTACAATGTTCAGTCATGAGTGGGATTTTCTTTTCAACACCTACTGGTGAAGTTTAGGGACCGTCCACAAATGATTGGAATAAGAAGCAGAGAGTTAATTATATAAATGTAAAAAGCTGAACATCCCTGATAACCATTTTGTAACACCCTTTTCCAATCACTCAAAATGAGAGGACACACTTTGTCAGCTTGTACTACAGATTCATTTAACTATAATATCATTATTACTGGCAATCTTTTTTATGAATCATTGAGGAATGGTTGAACATTTTGGGACATACCCTTGAGGTCTTTTACCACTTTAATGTGACTTTAAAACTGAGCTCTGTTTGAAGAGGAGTAGGTAAGTAAATCTGACTCACCAGGTGTGACCCTGACGTAGCCTTCGTTGGTTTCCTCAGACGACGTACTGGAGGTATCAAATGAGTCCACCGTTACCGTTGACGCTCTGGCATACTGAGCGTTTGTGGGGCCGCCGTTACAGCCCGTGAAGACTCCCATCACTTTATTGTCCGATTCAGGACCTGAGAAATAAAAACAGAATGTTGTTTTAATTTTAGGGTTAGGGTTGCATTAAACATTATTCTATTCAGATGAAGCTCAGATTGGGATACAAGATTGTGTTCTCCCTGGGAGTCTCGGTCAAGGTCAGCCACAAACAAATGAACTTTTTTCAGGGACTAATAAAGACACCTTGACCTTGACCTGATGTTGTGGGGGGAAAAATCTGTTTAATTCAGATCCACAAACATACAGCGTCAGAAGTTGTTTTTGCCCTGTCCTCTATCTTCTCATAAATAGGAACAGCAGCTTCACAGTGGGAGTGAAACATAACACTATTTTTTAATCTATTCTAACTAACAGTGACTCACCTTCCTCAAAGAGGCTTTCAAGACCCAACGGCTTCATCAAAGGGTTCACGTCCGGTTTGTACCGTTGAGAATCTGCAAGATGCACACAGAGCAAAGCGTTGATCACAAACAATCCTGCAAACATTCGGTGCAAACTGCACACACACTTCAGCAGCAGCAAAGATAGAAGGCACAAAGGATTGAAATAAAAGAACGTGTAGCTCACTGCGAAAGGTTGATAAAGGGACAGACGACTCATTGCTCGGCTCATACTGCTCATAGTCTGTATCTACTGACGTGCCGTCAACACTACTAAGCTGGGTCCAGAAATACCTGGGGCTCAACGGGGCTTTTTGAGACAAACACAAACAAATAAAAGCGACTTCATGAGATTATTTTTCCACTTTTAGGTGCTTCCCTTTCTCACCCTCAAATGTATGCAGGTTGTAAAGGAAGACACTTTGTTCGTATCCAAAAGTATTAAATCCTGCTCATTCGTTCAGATTTGTTTTCACGAGAGTAAATATTATGAAATGTTCAGCCTCTCACCGTCTGTCGGGGGCTCGTTCGCTGTGACCTTGACGAGGTTGATGGAGTCTTGGTAGGTGTTGTGATGATGTTCAGAGGTGAGGCGTGTTTTGCTGTGGGTCTGCTCGAGCAATAACACTGTGGGAGAAAAAAACCAAGACAAACACTTTTATACTCAGTTGGGATTCTCCAGTCTTTTGGGGGCTTAAGCAAAAATCAACCAGCACTTGATTTAGCTTTACAAGTAAAAAAAATAATAATAATTTACTGCTGAAAGTTTTGAGACTACGGCACAAACTGAAGTGAAGAAAACAAACCGCTTCTTCTCCTGTAATGACAGCAGAGCACCGTGTTTGTGATCAAAACACGAGGAGCAGCAGAGACAGAGCCATGGCGCCGAGAAGCTCGATGGGCAGTGAGGAGAAACCTTCAGAGGGTCCGTCAGGGGTCGGAAGCTCTGGGATGGAAAGAGAGAAACAAACAAGTTATCATTTCTCATAACTGTTATGCACTTTTTTGTTGCCCTATTTTAGGTCTTAGATAAGCCAAAGGAAGGAAGTAACAAATACAGTGTGATGTTTCTCAGTTCTTCTAAAGAATAAAAACCGAAAATATTTACCTGTGGTTGAAGTAGTTACAGTTTGATCAGCTGCGCTGGCTGTTGTTGTTTTTGCGGGAAACCCGAGGGAACCTGCAAGAACAAAAAAAAGAAGTGAAACCATGAACTTAGCAGTTTTTTGAATATTACCTAATTATGACTCATATCAGATAAAAATCATTATCCTTAAGTAAAATATATATTTTAAACGTAGGCTGAGTTTTTATCCTTAATAATTATTCTTACTTGGCCTTCATTATTTCTCAGTGGGAGAGGCCGAGCTGAAGTGTGATGTGCCCACATACACATGAATGAATAGCATTATTCTTTTACCCTTGAACATATCTACTTCAACTACTTATACCAAAGGATTAAATAGATTATATACACCTGTGTTTATTTACATTTTTAATTTCAGATGAGTAGCAACATTTTAATCTTTACAGCTTCATTCTTTGACTACTCATAAAGATCGTGTCCAAAGTACAATTTTAAGATTAAACATGAAGTGGGCTATTGTGAAATGCAAAGGAGGCTACTAGCAGCCTGATGTAACACAAGTAACTCCTCTGACAAAGGAAATAGCCAATCATAGTTCAGATTTTTTTTTTTTTTGGGGGGGGGGGGGGACACCCTCCGACTCAGCACCCACAGAAAGTGGAAATCTTTTTTATGTCAGTCTTTTTGGACTCACATAAGTTTTAAGAAGACTGAGAGTAATTTTCAATTAGCGGTACCTTTAATGGTAAAATTCTTTGTTCATCTTTTTCAACAATAATACATCAATTTCACTATTGTAGATGAGCAAATGCATTTACGCTGAAAGCACACGGTTTGATGAAAGTCACTTTTCTTTTCTTTTTTTTAAATTCAGGGTTGCTGCTTTGTTGGATTCAGCGACCCATACGGAGGCTGTAGTCCTTGTTGAAGTGACTGCAGGTTTGAATCAGACCTCTGCGACTTCTCTGCGTGTCATGCCCCACTCTCTCTCTTCCGAGCATTTCCTGTCACTCTTCCGCTGTCCTATCCAATGCCCCCCGCCCCCCACCCTCTCTAAGTCAAGTCAGTCGGTTATATTGCATACAGCTAATCCACCCTTTGCAGGGTTCTTTAACATTCATTCATGAACAACATCACCAGTTCATCAACCACACATATCGTGTCACCCACCTTTGCAGATGACCCCGCTCGCCTTTGATGTAGCACACAGGTATTTGCTGTTGATGTACTCCCTGCACTGCCACAGGTTCTGCACATCTTGATCACAAAAATAGAACCACAGAGTCCCGTTGTTGTGGGTGAGATGAGGGACAAACTGGGTGATCTTCTCCGTCTGGTTTCCACACTGCAGCATGGAGCAAACCTTGGAGGCCAGCTCATTAGTCCAGCAGTTATCACACACTGTTCCCCAGCTGCCGTTTCGGTGGACCTCCACTTTACCCGAGCAGCGGTCCAGACCCCCTGTGAGTCTGATCGCTCTCATCTCTGCACATAATCACAAAGGAAGACTGAATGAATATGACATCCCAGCATCAATATTAATCAATCAATATTGTGTAAATTATTCCCTACATAGGACTTGTGATATACTGTAAGTACTGAGGAGTCCTGTCCTTGATGTTATTACTTGAGGGATTTAATAAACCTGGTGGGTCATTTCTGGTAACATAACTGTACACTCTAAGGGACCATGAGAAACTCTTTTTCTAAAATACAAATCTAAAATTCAATATTAAAGGGGACATATTATGAAAAATCCACTTGTACAGTGTTTCTGAACATATATTTGGATAACCTGAGTGTCTACTGACCCACAAAATGTGAAATAAACCCATCCAGTTCTTTGTTTGCATAAGTCTTACAACACAGAGGAAAATGCTCCGTTTTAAATGTGCTCTCCTTGTGATGTCACAGTGGGATTCTGCTAAAAAAAATCCCCTCCCCTCCCCTGGTATCTCCACCCATGGACTCCATCCTGAGCCTAGAGCAAAACTTTTGCACAGGTCCGCCATGTTTATTCTCGCTACAGAGGAGTGATGTCTACGGGGAAAACTCAGGGGGGCGCTCATTGCATTTAAAGAGACACACACACCAAAACGGAGCGTTCTGAGAGAGCTGGTTTATACAGGGTCACAAATCTCCTCTGATGCTTGATTCATGTTATATTTTGACCAAAGCACAGCACAGATGATTCATTTAGACCACAGGGGGACTGTTTGAAAAGGTGGAGAAGGGGAATAATATGTCCTCTTTAAGAGATCTAATTTGGTATGCATATCATTTTGTTTATTCTGTACGTCTAAAAATGTTTTCTGACAGTGACCTGAGCACACGACTCCAGCATCCTCTTTGTGTCCACAGTCGGACTCATCCTGTGCAGCCGGACAGGCCCACAGGTTATCCTCTTTGCCCGTACAGTTCAGCTCGTCCAGGTGGATGGGTCCTCTTCCTGGGGGGAAGGAGCCGACCTGTCCCGTCACACTGATTGCGTAGCCGCAGCCCAGCTGGGCGCAGACCACGTCAGCATCCGGCAGGTCCCATTGGTCGTCACACACGGTGCCCCACCTCCCGTTTTTCCACAACTCCACCCGTCCAGCACAGCGGTCTGAGCCTCCTGCCAGCCGGGCAGCCTGGTGCCCTGAGGAGAAGATTATCAAACTTAAGCCACTGCTTATGTGAGCCCACAGAGAATCAGAAATAAAAATCTATTGAAGGTTACATGTTGATATTTATTGTTATTCGAGAATACAAGACTGACATTAATATGAGTGTTTTTTGACTTTTTAATGGACATATTTATTTCTTTTAGCAGTGGTGTGTAATTAATATGTAAGGAATATAAATGCATATATACATTTTCAAATTAACAAGTTAAAGTCAAAGTCAACTTTATTGTCAATTTCAAAATATGCCAGACATACAGTGGAATCAAAATTGCGTTTGTCTCCGTCCCACGGTGCAATATAACCAAAATAAGGTAAAATAGATAAAATAAAATGAGGTAAAAATAAGATAAATAATATTTACAGTCATAAATTCTAAATTGTGCAAAAGGTACAAAATGGTAAATAAAATAAATTAAATTACATTTAAAGAAAAGGTAAACTTGTGCAATATGTGCAATATGCAGTAAAGTGAGTGTACTTTTGAATAGTTAGTTTTAGAGTTATTAGTCCAGAGTTCTTGGTGGCAAACAGGAGGGGGTTTCAACGTCCAGTGTTCGTGGGGGCAGAGGGGAGGGAAGGAAGAGAGGGGAGAGAGTTAAGCTTCCTGACAGCTTGGCAGGAAGCTTAACAACAATGCATTCAACTGTGGACTAGAAAAATAAAATTGCCTGTATCGTAATTTGTTGTTGAGTGGCAATAAAGGACGTGAGACTTGACACATTTGTCTTCAGTTAGAGGTGTGAAAATACACAAACACACTAAATGCACAAATGCATTGGCAGCGTTACCCATGTATTTGTGTATTTCAGACAGTGTCTCTCTCTCTCTCTCTCTCTCTCTCTCTCTCTGTGCATATACAATACACTGCATGTATCTATCTGTAAATCTCAGTCACTAACCACCTACTTTCCTGGGAGCTCTTGAGCTCTCTTAGGCTCCTCGAGATCGTTGGTTGACGGCCTGCCAGAACAACCGCCCCCACAGGATTGTTGATGGACGGCTTGCCAGAACGATGTCAGTGTTGACTCATATCATACTGAAGTATAAAATTTGGGTATTATTATGGTATTATCTTTAATAAGACCCTTAAAAAACTATATAGGAGTTCAAAGTGAACAATAACAAAGCATCTAAAATGTTTTTTTTTTTTTTTTTACAATTGACTTATTTTCATGCATTTGCAGAGTTAAGATTCATGTTCATCTGTTCGGCCAATTTGACCTTTACTGTAACAGGTAAGATGTGGAGAGAAACAAACACAAACAAGAACTGTATATACTACGTCCTCCATGGGGGGCCCTGAGGATTCAGTCCCACTAAGCATTCAGTAAAAAAAAACTCTGAATGCCAGCCTGCTGTCTTCCACTTTAATATGAAGAAAGTTTTAAAAGGACGAAAGACATCTGTGTAGCTTTTGAACACTCAACATGTTGGATTTTATAATGTTGAATCTAACTTGTAAGAACTAAAAGCCAACTAAAAACCTCCACAAAACGAACAGATCTTTGTGTATCTAAAGGAGATATTAGAGAAAACCCTTACCACAAACAGCCTCTGAAATCACAGTGCAGTTTCCTCCCACCGTCTGTGAGCAGTTCTGCAACCGGCCGTCTCGGTACAAACAGCCGTTAAAGCAGGTGATTTAGGAGGTGAGCTGGTTTTATTCACATGATAGACGCTGCCACAGTCAAGATCCTGACAGATCTGTTCAACCAACATATCTGTGGAGTCTGCGGTTAAAGCCACCACATCACCGCTGCTCCTGTTTCCAGGCATCCTGAAGGTGAAGCTGCATCGACCAGAGAGGTGATGAACGTGAGGGTCACCTGAGGACACACACGAGCAGAAACACCAAAGATGTCTGTGTTGATCATTTAAATACAACTTCAAAGCCGGGTTTTTTTCCATTTCACTGCTTCCTGTATGACTTAAACCCTTGAAACATATAAAGTTCTTATCATGATTTAATGCTGACATGGGATTCCAACACAAATGCAAGAATTGCAAAATGTTTTACATTAATCCAAGTCTAGATTACAGAAAGAACTCAACTATTTCTCACCAAAGACAAATATGTGGCTCGACATTTTCCCCCACCGCCTGCTGCTCTCAAACTAAAGTCAGTTGTGTAACATTGAACATGATGACCCCCTGAGGAGACAAGACTCGCAGATTCCCCTTAATTCTTTTAAATCCCTTCTCAAAACGTACTTTTACAGACTTGCTTTAATTGATGTCGTCTTCTTGATGTCTTTTCTTACCGGTTTTACTATTTTTATCTTCTTTTACTTCTTACTGTTCTTTTATTTATGCTCTTATCTTAACTCCTCTTGTGTTTTAACTTGGTGATTTCTTATCCTATTTACTTTGTCTATTTATGTTTTATATTTATATTAACCTTTTATTTTTATTAATATTATAGTTTTGGTTCTTTTTTTATTTTTTATCCTTTAACCACTTGTTTCTATTTCTTTTACTGCTCTTACCTTCTTATTGCTGCTATTTTTTTATTTGCTTTCAGCTCTTTTAGTTTCTTACATCTTTTTAAATCTTTGGTTCCTCTTGGTCTCAGCTCGTGTTGTTGGGTTCTTGTGTTGCCTGGGTTCTTATGATGGTTCTTGTGATGGTTCTTGTGATGGTCGTGTTCAGACGTTATATATGTCTGGTTGTGTATCGTGCACTTTGGGTTCTTTTCTGTTGAATTGTATTTAATTATTTTTAGTATTTTGCATTTCTTATGTTCTTGCTGTTGTTTATGTTCTTCTGTGTTTGGTTTAGTTTGTTCTTGTTTTTGCTGTTTGTCAAAGCACTTTGTAAACCTGTGTTTTTAAAAGGTGCTATATAAATAAAGTTATTATTATTATTATTATGACTGTTATATAGAAGTCAACCTTCTTTTGACACATTCAGAAGGCTTGATGCTGAAATACATCGGTGACCCTTAATCTTGAAATCTCTTCTGTGTGAAGTTTGCATGTGCTTCTGGTGCATCTGTGGGTTCTCTCCCTCCCACAGTCAAAAAACATACTCGTTTGGTTAACTGGTGACTCAGTTTGATCGTAGGTGTGAAAGTGAGTGTGGCTGGTTGTCTGTCTCTTTTTGTCACCTCTGTGACTAACTAGTGAACAGTCCAGGGTGTAACCCCGCCTCTTGCCCAATGACAGCTGAGAACAGCTCCAGCTCCCGTGACACCGAACGGGAAAAGCGGTATAGAAAAATGGATGGATGGACTCTAAAACTATGTTGCAAATGCCATACGATACGAGAGAAATTTCCCAAAGGGGACAATAAAGTGTATCATATCTCTTTGACCTTATCTCTTTTGATTTGTCCTGGACATGCATAGGTAGTTTTTTGAGAACAAATCTCCTCCTGCCTCAAATGTTTAACTTAATGTGAATATTTTTTTTGGGGAAAAAAAATAAAATAAAAAAGCTGTTTCTTTAGGGTGGCTGTAAATGGTCTCTTCTGACACCTACCCTGTGGAAGCTGTTAAAGGCATTTCAATGTAAAATGTCAAAATGTTCAATCTTGTCGCTGATGGTCGGTTGATCAGTCGGTTTCATTACCAGATGAAAACTTGACACAGGGGCTTTAAAACATTTCAAGTGTTACTTGACATACAACTCTATTTCTCCAAACACCCACATTTCCTGTTTATTTCTGTACTGCCTATAAAAATATAAAATAAATGTTAAAAAATGATCTGTATTTTCTATTTTATTAAGACGTTTACAACCTGCCCTGGTTCAATGTCTTAATTTCAGTACTTGCAGATGTCTTCATAACTTTTGTAAATAAGAACATAAACGTATCAGGCTGAAATGTTTCCAATACAAAACCAAGTTGTTGAGAATGCACATGAGCACAAAGCCACACGGAAACAAAGAGCAGCAAAGGTGGCTTGCAGGGCAACCCGAGTCGATGCTTTTCTGTCTCACAATGTTTGATTTGCACCTGCACAATTCACAGAGATGTTTCACAAGCAGGTCAGCCCACATCCTGTGACATTAACACTGTTCACGCATCCCCTGCATCGAGTGTTTATTCTGATTCTGGAGAAAAATGGGCGCAAAGACTTCTGGTATGAACGAGCGTGTTTGTGTGTGTGTGTGTGAGGAAATACTGAACTTACTGTTGGAGTCCTCTTCCTCTGCTCCCCTCTGGTCATGAGCGCGGTCCGCTTGATTGGAGGGTTGTGAGGCTTAAATTTAAAAAAAAAGTCTTGTCACCGTCAGTGAAAATGTGAGCATCCAGTCTATACAGTCACAGCACCACATCAAACACACCACCAAAGGCTTTTAAAGAGTAACCATCTGACCATGAATATCTAATTTTCAGGTTTCAGCGCGTGGATGAAGAATCACAGCGCGGGAGAAACTAAAACGTATTAAGTCAAGATTAAATCAATGACCAAATGTGATGTTCATGATTTCACATTTTACACTCTCTCTAGTGGAAACTGCATCTGTGTGTTCAAATACCTGTGATTGGATTTAGGTGGACATAGTACTTCTATTATGTTGATGGAAATATGCATTATTGGTGTAATTAATTAGATCATTAGATCATTAGATAATGGCATACAAGTAATTATTTTATATTATATTATATACTATTGTACAATTAATACCTATTAAAATGGACTTAAAAGGGGGATTAGATCAATTTTAACTTTTCCTACTCCCTTTCAGACATGTAAGAGCGAATGAAGGACGATTAATTATTTTTCTTATGCTGTGCATTTATTTAATTTGTTTTCTACATATTTATTTAATTACAGCATTTCTTTGTTTGTTTTTTCTTTTTTACATGTTCAAAATAAAGAATAAATCAATATTTTTTTAGAAGAATTCAAGGTTAATGAGTCAGAGAAATACAAAAGTACACTAAAGTGAACAAGAGCACGTTTAAATATTCAAAGAACAAGATGAATACATGTAAAAAGTATAAATACAAGTAACCAAATGTACATTATCCAGTTTTAGTGCTTGAGCTCAATTTGTCTATTTTATACCTTTGCACCACCGGTCTCAGTGGACAACATTTTAAATCGGCTGTGTCTTTATGGAAAATGTTGCCATTAAACTTTCAAACAAAACAAGATACAGGAGCATAAGAACCGGTCCTCAGGTCACTCAAGGATTAATCCAAACAGATTTTATGTTTCTGTGGAAATCATTTAAAAAAATGTACGGACATCTTCATGAAACTTTTATCAGAAATTAACAAAATCATTTTGTTACACATGCAGCAGTTTGTGTCTTTATTCTTTCAATTTCTATAAAGTTATATTCATATGATAAAGAGATATAATCGAAGGGGAAGGACACATTGCAGCTTATACCGTGTCCATTCATTGACAACAAATATTTTACATCATTGTTCAGTTCTTCATCTTTTCAAATACAGAACTGATGACATCCTTTACATACTGGAGACCTTTCAGCTTCAGGTCAGAACGAATCAAATTAAAGTATTTTATGTAAACAGGTGTTACAAAACATTACAGTTGCACCTTTTTAGAGCTATATATATATATATATATATATATATATATATATATATATATATATATATATATATACATACACATATATATTTTAATTGCCTAAGCAACAGTCGGTTCAAACAGAGCAAAAGTCAAATCTTACAGCCACACTGACAGTTTTTGTATAACTTTAAGATATGAAGTTGACAAACGTGTGAAAAGTGTTAACTTTACCTCGACAAAGGCAGCTCAGCTGGACGATCAGGATACATTTTATCAGCTTCATGTTGTTGACATGAAATTGGGGAAACTGGTTCTATTGTCTTAAACTGAACCAGTGTAATGTACGGAGCTCGTCTGTTAAAAGTGTGACTTCCTCTCTTGTTCCCTTCATGTCTGATTGACAGAACTTCCCATTCACCACAATGCCTCATGACAGGAAGTTTATATGGCATGTTAACAATGACCTTGATATTAGAGCCCCAAACCACAATCTTTTGATTAAATTAAAAACATTAATTTAATGTTTTTTAATTTAAAAACATTAAATTAAAAACATCCGGAATCCAAACTAACTACATAAAAACAGTAAGATAAGAAACTGTAATTTAACACCCATGAACAAGCAATAACATGATTTTCTTTTGCTTTTAAATGAGCTCAATGATTATTTTATCACATCATGCTGTACTTATAGTTCACCTTGTTCTGACTTTGAGAAGAAAATGATACATTTATAGTTTCTGCTTTTATGCAGAGTTCTTCACTGCAGTGACTTAATACGTATTTACTGAAGAGCTAATTGAATTCACAGTTTTACATTGTATGGTATCACAATTTATAATACATCAGATTAATTCATTACACTGAATGAATCTAATGGGTACTGTGACATTTAACCAGAGGGGGGCAGCATTCCTTTAACACTGTGGTACTGTATGATTGTAGAAAATCTTTTTAGATGATTATAAATTCGTTTAGAATTGTCAGTTCAGACGCTATTTAATTATAATATAATATAATAATATAATATAATTAATATAACAAAGAGTACGGTCTTTACCTGCTCTTCTGTAAAGTGTCTTGAGTTAACATTACTATACTAAAAAAGATTGATTCATTGATTGATTGGTTGTCATAATTTCCTGTTGATGTTCTTTGAATTACAAATTCAGCACATAATATAAACAGAATAACACGCAGAATAACAAATAATGCATATTTAGTACATAAATAAGTGCTTCAATTCAAATTGTATTTATGGTAGTAATTCTCACGTGTGAGTCCTGAATGTTATTCAAACCTGACCAAAAGTGAGCAGAGCCAAAGATGAGGAAACAAAGGGAAACAAAGGGAAACAAAGGATAAATGACCCAAAGTCTCGTTAATCAGTGTGGCTCTGAAACAGTATTGTTACCTGATGCGGATGACATTTAACCGGTCTGTTCAGGGGTCATGAGCAGCTCTCTACACAACTTCCCTTCAGCGCTCTGCTTTGTTTACGTCCTGTTCCAGGAGCACGCGCTCATCTCGACTCTCTCTCTCCCATTGGCTGTTCTGCTCTGTTGCTCCGCCCACAACAAATACAAACCGGAAATTCAACTGACAGAAAAAAAAAAAAAAAAAAAAAAAAGGTGAAGACGAGACAAAGTTATTTACACATTTTAGTTATTTTCATCACTTTTATGAAACATTTGAGACAAAAAAAAAGGTTTACAATAATTTGAGACGTAAAAAAGGCTTACAATAAACTAAGGGCATTAGTAGTTTATTTGTTTAGTCGACATTATGTTAAGAAACAAGTTTATCTAATGCGGATTAAACTCATTTTTAAAGAACAACGAAACAGTAGGAACAAAATTACAACTACCAGCGATATTAACAGTTTCTTAATCTCATTCAATCTATTTTTAGGGTTTAGGCTCGGGAGTATTTATACGCATGCGCATTGAGCTTCTAATTCAAATTAGCGCCAACTGAGGACTATTTCAGTTTCTGCAGCTCGGAGGGTAAGCAGCTGCAAACTTTACTAATCATTCAAAGTTAGCACAGACGTTTTACCATCACGGCTCTGTGACATGTTCAGTGTCCTGTAGATGTGCAGTGTTGTGATCCAGGTAAAGCAGCACTTTGTTTTTGCATGTTTTCTACACCAGCTGGTTGAAGAGTTGGAGTCTGCAGCCCCCCCGCTGTGCTTGAACTGGGTGAGTTAAATACTTAAAAGTTCCTTGCAGTCTGTTTGCTGCTTTTTGTTAACTTTAAACTTGGGTGAAAATACACCATAACAACGAATAAAAAGCTTACATGCATGTCGGATATTATTACATAAATCATTACAGGTCCATTTGTTGTTTAACTCTGGAGCATTTTATTGGTGGTACAAAATGTGCACTCTTTCTGCATCTTTGTGCTGTTCATGGAGGTTTTGTCTCATATAAATAACATAAATACCCTCAGAGAGTATTAGTTTATACCTCGAATAAAGTTAGAGACGTCTGATTCTTTGCAGAGTGGTCAGACTACTTGCTCATCTTCTATGTTGTTGATGATAAAGTCCAACTTTTGGCGCATTTAATAATCCGGAAACTGTTTCTTTATCATCCGGCTCGGTTTTGCATGGCATTATATTTAAAGTGGAAGTCATTACAGCTGCAGCTGGTTGAGCAGTTTCTGTCTTCCTGGTTTTTTGTCTGACAAACACTAACCTTGCTTCTTAATGGTTCCCCCTTTCTGACAGATAGGACCATGACTAGGAGAAGGTATTTCCCTCCCCCCCTTTTTGTCACTTTATGAATTATTTATTTTGGTTGTTGTTGTTGTTGTTGCATCTTTATCTTCAGCTCCATGTTGAGTTCACTTTGGTGTCTTTGCAGTGCACGCCAGCAGAGGAGATCTGAAAATGTTGCAGGGCAGAAAGGCAAAGGAAATAAGGTAAGAGCAAGATCACACTTTTAATTTCTGTGTGGGTATTATTTGAGACTTACTCGATCAGGTTTTCGTGTTGATGTTCTGAAATGACATTTTTCTTCACAGCAATGCGGCAGAAAAAAAGTTCAGCCCCTGTCAAAGCTGCAGTGTGAGAAGGTATGTCCTTTTATTTTTATTGAATGATATTCCTCTTGTATCAGTACACAGGGCTACAGTGGTAAATAAATAATCCTTCTCACCCTTGAGTAATAATAAAGGACATAGAAATTAAACCCATATCATTTACTTAACCATAATAACCCCTGAAGTTAACTGTGTTTGTAAATGCTTGTGCTGCACTCAGTTTTCTTCTTTCCCGTCGTAGAACCAGCTGGTACTTGAAGACGTCGCCGAGCCTCGTCTTCTCGTTGAGGATCCTGAGACAGAAGTAAAGACGGACGTTGTGGATGTGGATTTTATTTCAGGAGATTCTTTGGTTCGTCCGTCACCTCTACCTCCCCTCAGGTGATTATTATACGTTACTCTGTCGTGTTTTACTTCTCTTCATATCTGCAACCAGACGGTGTTGTTACCGCTCTGTAATGCTGCGTCTTGATTATTTACACAATAGTCACCAATGATTTCATCAAGAAAAAAATCATCTTTGAAAATATATGCCTAAAGTCCAGGGTAACACCTTTTTCCTGGACGAACGAGTGTAACAATGGAATTTCAAGTATGGGACCAAGGAAACCAAAATACAAAACCTTACAAACTGCAACAACCAGAGTTTTATTTCATTTTGACTAAAGATTTATTTAGCCAAGAAAACCTTGTTGAGATTAGATATTTCTTGTAAGTTTCCTGGTCCAGACAGGCTAATATGTGTTCTCATATTACACAGGCTGTCTAATTATTCTCTTTAAGTTTTTGTTGGATTGCTTATGTCCTGACTTGTATGAAGGATTTCACAGGATAGGCAGAAATAAACCTTTTTTTGGTCATTGATTGAATTTTATTGTGTGAAATGGACGAGCATGTAGATTGTTTTGTTTCTGTAATTGTGCTATTTACACAAATATATTTGACTCGTTATTTTTTTTTTTTTTTAATGAATGACCAAAATAAAAATCATGAATTCATTAAAGTGAACGCTCTCTCTGCATGTCACAGATGGGGCTCTTCTGAAGACGTGTGGGGGAAGATGGTCAGACGGGAACAAAATTACTCGCATAGCAAGAGCTTTGTGCAGAAACACCCGACAATACAACCCAGGATGAGATCGATCCTGCTCGACTGGCTGATCGAGGTGCGTGTTAAACTGAATCTCATTTGGGTGTGTTGCATTTTTCTTTTTTGTGTTACGGCTGGAGTGCACAGGGTTTTTTTATGAATATGTTAACTAAAATATTTGGGAAAATTAAAAAAATCAATCCATGTCTTTCTGCCCTTCTGTTTCTGGATTTAGTTTATATCTTTGTGATTCTATTTAAGTAAAGTCCTGTCAATGTTGAGTTCTGTTTTATGTTGGAACTGGTGTTAATGGTCCATGTATGAACTTTAAATTATCCTGTGGCTGACACAACCAAACCAGTTTGCACTCCTAAACACAACTGTTAGACTAGATTTTAGTAAAAACATTTTGTAATAAGTGAAATAAGGAGACGAGTATGAAAAGGAAATGTAGTTACTAACGTGTTCTTTCGATTTGTCATTTTCTTCACCAGGTGAGTGAGGAGTACACTCTACACCGGCAGACGTTTTACCTCGCTCAGGACTATTTTGACCGCTTCATGTTGACCCAGAACAACATGGAGAAGAACATGCTGCAGCTCATCGGGATAACTTGTCTTTTTATAGCATCAAAGATGGAGGTAAGGAAGAACGGGGAGCGAAAACTACAGAACCCAAATTCACATACGCTAAACAGAAGATGTCAGTATCCTACCAAGAGTTTCCACGTTTACAACCGCTTCATTGATCCTGTTGTATGTAAAGTTTGAACTTTATTCTTCCCCGCAGGAAGCCTGTCCTCCAAAGCTGTCGCAGATGGCCTACATAACCGCGGCGACGTACTACGAGGAGGAGATTCTTCAGATGGAGTTAATCATTTTAAAGGTAATATTGTCAGCATCTTAAATAACTCGTGTTTCACTCGTCATGCTTGGTTCTTTAAGTGTGACTTAACTCTACTGTCTGTGTGTGTAACAGGCTCTGAGGTGGAAGCTTTGCCCGGAGACCGCCGTGTCTTGGCTCAAGCTTTACTTCCAGATGGCATCAATGAACTTCAACTCTGACCTGCTGGAGCAGCAGTTTCCTCAGGAGGCTTACATACAAATGACCCGAGTAGGTGTTCAGTGGCTTTTTAAGATGTTACACAGACACAAATATTAGATTTAAAGCTGGGATACGATCAGTTACATCACAAAGTGGAAGGGCGTTCTATCAGGTCTGCTTTTTGTGCTGGCAGCACCCACATCCTCAGCTTCAGAGCGCTTATTCAAGGAAATATCACAAAGAAAACATAAACACTGTAAATGAATCCGGCGTTAGCAGCAGCTCTAGCACAAAAAAAATTGTACCCTCAAAAGGAGACGAGTCAGATAAGTTTCTCTCCTGCCATTGTTGACAAAGTCTCGCCCCTTCTTGATTCTGATTGGTCGGTGTGGTAGAAGCGACTTGGACGAGTGCAGCGCAGTTTCAAAAATTGGAACTGTTTCAACTAAATAGAGCAGATCAAGAATAAAACGGCTGACTGAGAGCATTTTGGTGCTCAGGCAAACAAAACAGCCTCAGTGGACACCGGCCCTTTAAGGATTAGTTTAAACCATCATGCCCTACTTTTGTAGAATAATGTATATGTGTGCAGTACTTTGAAATGATGCCTTCACCTGTAAAGCTAACAACTAATCGTACATTTTCTCTTCTAGCTCTTAGATCTGTGTATCCTCAACATTAACTCTCTGGACTTTGAGTATCGAGTGTTGGCTGCCTCCGTCCTGAGCCATTTCATGAAACAGGAAACGGTGGAAAAAGTTTCAGGTAATGTTTGGGGTTATTCTAACGTTTTATATAAATGGACAAATGCAGATTTTAGCCGAACGGGATTAGGTCTGAAAGAGACGAGACGCTGATGCCCACCGGATTGTTGATGGACGGTCTGCCTCCCCCCACCCCTTTGCTCCCTATCCCTCTTCCTGCATCTTATCCCATCTCTCCCCCTATCCCTTTCCAAGCCCGGCGCAGTCTAGTCCTGTGAAGGCTGTTTCGTCATGAGCCGGGGATCCGGCCGAAGATTTCTGCCTTTTAATAAGGCAGTTTTTTCTTACTCCTGTAACTTTTGCTGCTTTGCTAAAGTGCTCATGATGGATAGGCCGGATCTTTGTAATATAGCAATAAGTAAGGTCTTTTACCTGCTTTTTGTAACATAACAATGAATAAGGTCTTTTACCTGCTCTTTTGTAAAGTGACTCGAGATAACACTTGTTATGAGTTGACGCTATACAAATAAATTGAATTGATGTGATTTTGGGTCATGACTTTTTGTCTTCGTTCAGGTCTATCCAAAGATGAGGTCCAGCCGTGCGTTAACTGGATGGCCCCATTTGTCGAATCTGTGAGCCAGTCTGGAAATTTGACACTAAAGGAATTTGTCAAAATCAAGAAGGACGACAGACACAACATTCAGACTCACACAGACTACTTGACCATGCTGGTAAGTTCAACCCTCCCAGAGAAACAACTAAGAGTGTCGCCCTATTCAGACCGCCCTGTGATGTTTCTCCTTCAATATAAAATGTCAGAGGTGTGATTGGGGAGGGGGCAAGTGATCCCACCTCTCTGCTGCCTTCTGAGGTAGTAATGGAGATGTTAAGAGGGATGAGATGGATCGATGGAGTCAGAAACATTTGTCATCCTGTCCCTATATAAATAGAATCGAGGTATTCATTTGTACATGCACTCTGAGATCGCTCTGATTCTAATCAAACTGTGTCACTTAACATCAAATCTTCGGTCTCAGGATGTCAGTAATTATAAAATAACTGAATATCCCTTGAGGCTAATTTATCACAGGTTTCTGAATTTTCTGTTTGTCTCCGTTTTAGGATGCCACTGGTGAAAAGGAAGTGGAGATCCAGTTCCCCACTCCTCCCAGCAGCACCGAGAAACCCTGCACACACTGAGCTACAAGAGGAAGACTCTGGAGTGAGTGTGCACAGAGATGACGGGGGGGGCCCGTTCAGTGGACGACTGTTTACAAAAAGTCCGGATGGGAGTTTATTCCACACTCTGCCGATGAGAAACATGTCAAAGAAAGCATTATCAAAGTGTTATAGTCGTACATTTTCTACAATCTTTCATCTTGGTTTGAGCTTTTTGCATGATTATTTTTCTTCAAGCTGTTTTAAGCATCACTGTGCTTTAATTTTAAAAGAAATGTGTCTGGAAAAAAAAAAAAAAGCATCAAGGTTTGCTGTAAGTTATTTTATTTCTGAGAAATACTGTAAATGAAAGTGATGTGCATTTTTATTAAAAAAAAAAAAAAAAGATATGTAGCAAATCAAATATGTACAGTTAGATTTTTAAATACTGCTTCAGGGTCGGATCAAATGTTTTTATTCTGTGAAATGTGAGCTGTTCTGTTTACCTCTGAAGTGCTGAAGAAAACTTGAAACACAATCAGTAAGTTCCATTTTTTTTTTCATGAAAGCTCAGAGTGAAAGAAGTACACTCGTTTTTTTGTGTATCTGATAAATATCGATTCATATCAAAGCTGTTGTTTGTGTAACTCAGGAACATTTACAGTTGTTTTTAAGAACTCATTGTAAATCATAACATGTACATGTGTATTTATTTAGAAATGTATTTTCTACCACAAAATAAAATGTACATTCCCGTTCCCCTCAGGACTCGTGTGTGTCCTAGAAATACAGTTTGGCCATCGCCTGCAGGAATCTCTTCTTTCTTTTCTGCGCTGCCAGCTGCAGCACCTCCTCGGGGTTACTGGTGTTCAGCTCCGCCTGTCCGATCGCTTTGATCTGTGAGAGGGAGAAGAGTTAGTACACGGCTGAAGCCTCTCAGTGTCGTCATGGCGATCTAGTTGTTTATTTCGGCATTTAAACATTTCTCAGTCCTTTGTCTTTCCCTGCCTTAATGATCTTTATTTTTTTCATGAAGCACAACATTTTGAAGCAGATTCTAACAATATGTTAATAATTCAAAGTGCTGTTTTGCGCAGATTAATAACTGCACAGATTTACCAAAGTTTCTTACCAGAGCTTTTAGGGGGTCGGTATATTTGAGATAAGTGATACATTAAAAACGCCTTACCGCTATTTGTCTCTTCTCAGTCTCGCCCCGTTTGTGATGAATATCTGAACTTTGTCAAGGAAGAAAAACACGACGACACACAGCAGATTTCTTCAAAGAGATTAGAAGAGATAAAGTTATCTTTGCATGATGATTCTTTTGTGTAACCTGATGGAATATCTGGAGTGCTGTTTGCCTTCATGAAACAAAGGATACGTGTGAGGTACTCCAGGATGGTGACGTCCCAGATGTAGTCGTAGAACGAGTCCATGGCATCGTGACTGGTGGCACAAAATAGAGGGAGGTCGACATGAATCAAAGGGCTGAGGTCAGGAGGACTGTGGGACACCTGCTCGACTGAAGCGCTAAACAAGGCGCCCCGTGTCTGTAGATTTGAAAAAGTGCTTCATGTGTTGGCCGAGCGTACCCCTACCTGTTCTGTTCCTGAAGAGCTTTAAACGCCGTCATGTAGTCGACCTCTCTGAGAAACTGGCAGAGAACAGCAACCTGCCAAGAACCACGAGAGACACACTTAAGTTTTACAGAGAAAAAAAAACATCAGGCGCTAAAATGGTTGTATTTGCTTAACTTTGTGACACATGAAGGTCGACTCATTCAGCGAGTGGAGTTCTGACCTGTGTGTGGCAGTTCATCATCGAACAACATTTGATCATCCTCTTCAGGACCTGCGAACAACAGACAGGGTTCAATCAAAGGGTTGATTCATTTAAACATTTGACTTAAGCTGTGGTTCACTGTGAAGAAAGTTTGGACTTGTTTTTTAGCATTGTTGTTATCTGTTCAAACCAGAAACTAATTTAGAACTTTCTAATCTACCTGGTCAGAGTAGACGTCAGGGGGAACAGGTTTGGTGAAGAAGTCGGAGCCCACAGCTCCGGCTTGGAGGTAAAGGTTCAGCGCAGCAGAGTACTGATTGGTCACTGCAGACATGAACAGAACAGCGTTAGTAAAAATAGACGCCTGCCCGCTCTAGCATCTGACTTTACCAACACAAACTCCCCCCCCCCTTGGTAAAAGAGTCAGTTTGGGGTGTGTCACTGCATCCTATCCATTGACCTCACTCAGCTTATTTTTTAGTCATTATTTTGTCTTTAGACTCGATAATCAGCGAGAGCGGGCTGCCGATAGCCGATGTTGTGTGCCACATGTACAGAGGCTATAGTCCTTGTTTCAGCTGCTGTAGGTTTGAATCCAAGCTTTGCCCTTTGCTGCACGTCATCTCTAACCCCCTCCCCCTCCCTAACTCTCTTCTCCCAACATTTCCTGTCTCTCTTCAGCTGTACTGTCGATAAAGGCAAAAAAAAAAAACAACGTTTGTTTTTTGATCATTTAGAGCGTCATTTACAATGATCAAGCAGATCAAAAGAGTCAAATGCAAGACAAATAATAATAAAGACATAACTTCTCACCAAAGTAGATATCAGCCTGTGTGATGAGCCACGACTGGTTGTTAGGATTCAGGGTGAGAGCGTAGGACACCAGCTCTTTGACCGTCACAGCCACAGCTTCCACGTCTACCGCCTGTATACTGATCGCACACATCGTCGTCACTTTTAGAGGCGTTGTGTGAGAAATCTGTAACAAGTCACTGAGACATAAAAAGAGTCCTTACTTTGGGAGAGTGGACGGCCAGATGGTGAGATGCTCAGCAGTGACTTCATTTACAATATCGTCCTAAAGAAACAGAAAAAAAAAAAAAAAAAAACAGTGAGAGATGTTGAGAGATTGTTCAACTCAAACCTTTAAATGTCCGGACTGAAACTTCCCCCTACCCGCACTATGCTGTGGAGCCTCACAAACAGGGAGATGAGGGTCGTCAGCACCAGCGGCTCCTGTGACAAATAAGAGGAAACCAGTTAACTTTGCTCCATCAGCTGCTCATCCAATAACATGTGACATATCCACTGAGGATTTCAGTTTGCTTTATGGGATACTCACTCTGAGCTTCTTGATGAAAGTGATGAATTTGCTCCTGAATAGGTTAGACACAGAAAATTCAACAGAATCAGCATCACTGTTTCCCCTGTGTGCACTGATTTATTTAAAGAGATAGTGCACATTAATGACATAAACGTGTAAATATGCCAGATTGTAACGTAGTAGGCTGATTTAAATCTGTAGTCCCTTCAAAACTTGGTATTGAAGTTGTGTCCACCTTAGTGTGTACTGATACACAGGAAGTGTAATGAGTGTTGGAGTACCTGTGCAGGATTCCCATGGAGGACTCTCTGTGTTTGATGAGACCCACTCTGCCGTCGTTGTTCCTCTTGTGCTGGACGGAACGCTGCAGATCTGGACCACCACATCCCACAGCTCCTTGGCCGTGCGCCGACACTCTTTAGGACCCGGGAGCTCTTTGCACGTCGAAGCGAGCAGCTGACCGATCTATGAGGAGGAAACAGAGAGGAGGAGTTTGTCCAGCGAGAACCGCAGCAGCCGGAAACCAGTGAGGGTCCAAAGTCACTCTCCATGTCTGCAAAGCTGCTACACTGATGTGAATAAAATGATGCACAATACTTTTAGACTATTGCAAATATGGAATAATATTTCCATAACAATACACTATTCATTTTCTTAGAAACTTCTCTTTCTGCACAGACATTTAAAGAACTTTAAGTTGGTTTCTCAATATGAAAATCTTTTGACTTAAACATGCAATGACTTTTTTTGGCCACTTGGGGGCAGCAGAAGAAACCTAATGGACAAGACTGGCATTTAACCCCATTCAGTCAATGTTGGATTAATATTTGCTTATTTTTCTCATCAAGAACACATTAAGCAACTAAAGTGTTCGAAACCTCTTACATCTCCGTGAAAAAACGCGACCCAAATTCTAATATTTTTCGACCAATCAAATTTATTTACTGAAAAATTGTGCCGTTTGGATCTCAGTCGGTACAAAACATGCGACGGAAGCAAGAAACCGAACAGAACAAATACGTTTACAAGGCGTATTCGCAGACTTTATTACACACGTTCTTATCCACTCAAAATGGCTCTGCGACCCACTCCTGGGTCTTGACCCACCAGTGCATGTGCTGTATGTATGGGTGGATAAAAGGACACTGACCTTGATGTAGGGGTTGTTCATGACCAGAGAAGGTGGCACCTGCAGAGTCAGGTAGTCGTTCTCTCTCCAGTTCAACATGAAGGCGACACACTCCTCTCCGACCACCTGACGCAGAGGCAGGTCTGAAGAAAACCAGCAAGATTAAGGAGTGAATCTAAAAACTATAAGCAGATTCTCTTATTGATAGTGAGAGAAGTGTTGAGATATGTAAATCTGCTTTCACAATCTAAATCTAGTAAGGTACCCCCATAAAGGACCCTTACTCCACTACAGCACACATCAATAGTGAGCCAGTTAGCATCCAGAATGGAGTCTAATATTTATCTTCTGAATACATTTAAAGCTCGCAGCACCATAGTGACACAAATCAGAACATTACAAACATCATTCCTCTCACCGTGAATCCTCATCTCCAGGTATCCTCTGACCCGGCTGACCAGGTCGGACGGCGGCCTCTCCTTGCTGCCCTCGGCCGCCATGGTCTCGTGCGCCCGGACCTCCAGCAGCAGCATCTCGTTCAGCATCACCTGCCTCAGCTTCGGGGAGAACTCGGTGACGAGCTCCAGGCAGGCGGAGAAGAGCTGCCGAGCGTGAGCAAAGTCCTGAGAGAGCATGAAAGAACGTCCTGAACTTCTCTTTTCCACTTCCGATGCAAACACACACAGACCTTTACACTAAGTGGATCTTTCTCTTTGTGTTGTTTGTTTTACTTGCTTCAAGCTTTAGGATGTTTGAGTTGATTTTAAATGATGCATTTGATGCTGAAACTCCGCTTGTGTAAACACACCTTTATAGATATGCAGTGGAGTCCTTTGGCCATCAGGATGTAAACCAGGTCCTTAGTCAGGTTGTCTTTGATGCCCAGGATCACGTTAATGTAGTCGGAGGGAACTTCCCACTGAGAACACAAACAGAAAGAAGGAATTTTAGTCAAGTATTCATGGTCTAAATCATCAGTATTTTAGATAAACAACAACATCCTGAATGTCTTTGATATCAGCAATGCATCCTCTGGCAGTATTTGTCGAAGTCTGACCTTACTGTTGACCCTCCAGAAGGGTCTTTCCGCCATGCCGTGCAGTTCAATGAGGATTTGTCTGATCCTGCGCGGCTCCAGGGAGAGGATGAGCTGCTGCTCCAGCTGCCCAATGTTCACACTCGCTGAAGCTGTAGTGGTGGGAGGAGGGGAGGAGAAAGAAAAACCTGAGCAGAAATAAATCACTCCTCAGAAGGGGGCTTTATCTTTTTAAAGATCAATTAAAAGGTCGCAGTCAATCTCTCAGCGTTGTACCTGGAATGTCGTAGAAAGAGGACAAAGGTTTAGCGCTGAGGTTGATTGTAGCCGACCTCTTCCTCATCTGCTCCACCAGCACCTTCCTCTCGTCCTCCTTCAGCAGCTCCATGAAGAGTTTATGAGACGACACCATGAAGAGCAGCGGCAGCTCCTCCAAGCTCTCACACAGAGTCCTCGAAGGCCACAACAGTCTCGTTTAAAACATGACTTAATGCTTTAGGTTTACTTTTAATGAATACTTATATTAGTAATACTTTAAGAGACACACAGGCTCTAGAGACATGTCTTCATGGAGGAGGTCCTCAGGGACCGGCATCCAGATCAGATGGGGGCTCAGTGCCTTGCTCAAGGTCACTTCAGCAGTACACAGGAAATAAACAGGCTCCTATCCAGCTACCAGTCCCCATGCCATAGACTGACTGAGACACTGCCGCCCCCCTTTAATGAACTGGAGAGTAAAGTGACCCCAACCCCCGCCGTAACTCACTTCATGAAACTGGCCATGTTCCTCCTGGACGTCTCTGATGGACGCTCCTTTTCCAGGGATAGTGTGCACACCTGCAGGGCAAAGAAATGTGGATTAGAAAGTTGCAGAAGTTCAATAGTCCAAGTTGCACATTGAACGCCTCAAACACGAGCTCAGCTTAAACTGACAGTCCAGCATGTGTGAAATGTACTGATCCCAAGGAAGAATCTACATATGACAAATATGTGTTTGGGGGATCTGAGGGGGCAAATACCTCTAAAATGAAGTCCACCATCCTTTTGCTGGGCCGCAGGAGGAGCTGCTGGAAACGCACACTGAGCCCTTCTCCCTCCAAAGCGTCTCGGACGGCGTTACAAACACACAACTTGTGGCAAACCTCGTCCAGCCCCGACTCTCTGCAGAGAAACAACAACAACAAAAAAGAGTTTCAGATGATGTATGCGTTAGAAGCTAAATGACCATAACTGACGTTTGCAATGTTCTCATAATGCAAGCTGTGCCTCGTTTCTCGGCTATGTGACGCTACAAACTCTTAGTTAAGTTAGTTTTGATGTTGGACTCCTCCTTTACTGTCGAGGATAAAGAAGCATGCAGCCCAAAGAGCTTCACATATAAATATTAAAATGACCCTGAACATCTCACCCTTGTTGGACTTTGTAGAGATACTCTCTGAGAACAGAGCGTCTGAAGTGGATCGGTAAATTACGGGACACATTATCTTTGATGAAGGCTTCGATGACGGCCTGTCAGAGAGCGAGAGAGAGAGAGAGAGAGAGAGAGAGAAGGTGGAATTAATTTACTTGGTTCTACATATTAGCACATGATGTCTCTGTAGAATCCTCTCTGACCTGGTGGTTTTGCACCCTGATCAGGCTGTTGATCTGATCGTAGGGCGTCGTCTGGGAGTCTGAGGGGTCGCAGCCTTCAGTCAGAGCTTTGCAGGCGTTCCAGTAACCTGCCAGACGTTTCTCATCCAGGTGAACGTGGACAGTCGAGTCCAGCTGAGGAGAAAGACAGAAAGGAAATGAGATCGACAAACGATGTTGCAGGCAGACTATAGTCTTTGCAGGATGCTGGGACACAAACCTTCTTCAACAGCTCCTTCGTCTGTCTGAAGTGATCCCGAGCTTTCTGATAGGCCGGCTGGTCTGTGCAGCCTTGCTGGAAGAAAATACCTCCCAAATCATAATGCACCTGAAACACAGAATACAGAATAAACCAGTGTGGGGCTTAACTATCAAACACAAACATAAGCAAGTTTAGAGTTAAAAAAAAAAGGACAATTTGAAGTCATTTGGATTCATCTCAGTATTTCTGTTCCGTGTCCTGAACTCACCTGACAGTGCAGCTCGTCCGCGCTGATTCGAAGTCCTGCCGTCGAAGACTCCGTCTCCCCGTTGGCGGCGGCGTCAGCAGCCAGCAGGTCCAGAGTCCTCAGAGTGTGGATGTAGAAGTCTTTCTTCAGCTGCACAGCTCCTTCAAGGACACTGATGGAGTCGCTCGCCTGCTCTTTCAGCTGAGGACAGGAGACGATTTCTTTTAAAACCCATTCGCTTAGTGCGCGCGCCCCATTGTATGGAGGCTGTCGTCTCAAGCGGGCGGCCCAGGTTCACTTCCCACCTGTGGCTTCCTTCCCGCATGTCATTCCCCTCTCTCTCTCCCTGATTTCCAACTCTATCTACTGTCTATCTATCAATTAAAGGCACAAAAAGCCCAAAAATAAATCTTTAAAAAACCAATTAGACATCTAAATCAAAACTTTCTAGAATTCTCTCTCAAAAGTGGAAAACATTTTTTTTTTACCAGAAACAGTTTTAAAAAAGTAAATTTCATGTCAGTGTTTGAGGACTCACCACGGTGAGGATGTTGTCAGTCATCTCTTTCTCCTGCTGCACGATACTTAACCTGCGAGGCCACGAGACAGGAAGTCAGCATCATCAAAATGAACATTGGAACTAAGCAATTAGAAACACAAACTGGACATTTATTTTCATGTTAAAATTAAATGTTCAAGTTAACTTGAGAGTTGCCATTTATACGTTTTTGACAAGCACAAACATTTGTTTTTTCAGTAAGGGAATTCAAGCTTTGTTAGTAATCAGACGGTGATAAAAAGAAGTTTACATGTTCATCTGGTGAGGTCCGGGTTTGTTCTGTTTCTCTGGAAAGCTGCTCAGCACGATGGTCCTGATCGCCCTTTGACACACAAAAGGAGACAGCAGAGGAATGGGTGGGTCCATTTGTTGAACAACAAGCCGCACAAGACAAGACAAGACTGACAAAGTTACAACACTGCTCCAGACTAAAGAGGTAAAACGTGAATAGAATGTGCACACAGTTTTAATTATTTTGTTATCGTTCCCTTCTAAGCGACCCTTCCTCTTGTTTCAATGTATTCTTAGAGAGTTAAATCACCATACATCATGTTGAGATGAACCTTAAGTTTCAAACTTGTAAACATACCTTCAGAGATAAGATGATGACACAGTGTATTAAGCAGCCTCTGTTTCTCCACCGGCTTGTTTGAATGTCTTGTGTGTATTTTTCTATGTGGTCTTACTCACCAGCGGTTGTAAATGACGACAGCCATGGCTGTGGTAGGAGGCAGAGTGGACAGGTCCAGGTCCACGTGTTTTACACCTGGGGGCACTTTGCTCACACACAGGAGCTCGTTCAGCAACATGTTTAACACTGGGATGGTCAAGCTGGCAGGAAAGACGGTTTGATTATTCCTTTATAGATAAAATACTGACATCTGTGTTCTGCTTGGTGTAACATTTAAACAGTTTTCTCCCTGCTTAGGTCATTAGGAATGTATCCTGTCGAATGCTGAACAAAATCTCAAACGTTCTAACTGAAGAGTAGGACTGCATCATCTTCAACAAAACTACAAACCATTTTTTACAACCCTGAATTCCTTTAATGACTTGCTGACCTGGTTTGCATGCATTATAGACAAGCTGAAAAAAATTATGAAATCATTTTAGATCCAAGCTGCCAATAAGAAACATTTACCCTTTCTCGAGAACATCCAGATCCCACTTCATGTGCGCAGCGACCTTCAGTGCCAGCAGCTTCAAGGTTCGGTTCCTGCGGTTGTCTGCAGGAGGCTGCACCTGGTTCTGCTCGTTCACCGAGGGCTTAGACGCCTGCTCCAGGAACTGAACGATCAGCTGCACCGACGGAGGGTCTGTGGAAACATGCAAGAACAAACACAACAGCATTAATAAAAATCCACTGTGTGAATATGTTCAGAATGTACACCTTAAACGCCGAAATGACTTCAGTCTGCTCCATTCATTTTGTCCATGTTGGTTAATAGCTTGGTTTATTTGTTTAGAAGAGTCCACTATATATGCAACACAAAGTCATGTAAATGTAAATGTTGGTCAGTAATGTTAATGCCGAGCTGAGTTGACCTGGGTAGGACTTCTGCAGGTGTGTCTCCAGCAGGCTGGCATCCAGAAGGAACTCAAACCAGGAAGTCTGAAGAGGCGTGCCGGGCCGACTGCTGGTCACAGCAGCCACCCGGTCTGCTGCCTCCGCACTCATCCTCCCCTGAAGAACAGACAGGAATTTTGTTTTTTTATCTTTGAAGGCACCACAATTAATTAACTAACGTAAGGATTGTTTTCAAAATGAATACACATCATATATAAAAATGTGACACTATATTGTACTTCTTTGCATCCTTCCTCCACTAGAGTAAGACTCTTTAAATGCATAGATTTGCCAAAGGAAGATGCTTTACAGAATAATCAATCAATCAATCAATTTTTATTTGTATAGCGTCAACTCATAACAAGTGTTATCTCGAGACACTTTACAAAAAGCAGGTAAAAGACCTTACTCATTGTTATGTTACAAAGACCCGGCCTGTCCATCATGAGCACTTAAGCAAAGCAGCAAAAGTTACAGTGGTAAGAAAAAAACAAGCTTATGAATACAAAATATAATATACTTTAGATTATAAAGCATCATTATGGTTACTGTTACATTCTCTGTAGTGTGTAAAAGTTATTAAAATGTGCTTTATCCCTTACATTAAAAGGGATGTGTAAATTAATGTAGAAACAACTGTAACCAATCCTGTAATAATAAATATGTTAATGTGCCTTTTATTCTTTGATTGAGATCCCCAGCAGCTACTCATCCTGAAATCAACACACAACAAAACAAACAAAACAAAACAAACATACAAAATGTACAAACACAAAATACGTTGTGCATAATTATAATACTTTTGGTTTCTGAATATGTTTTGAAAAACATACTTTTAACAGTTTTACTTAAAGTACTGTTACAGGTTACAGCAGGTTGTTTTTCACTGTGTGGACCTGTTAACATGATCTGACAGATGACTGAACCTTTCTCTTCTCAGGTTAACTCAGGACTTCTTTTGTTTACATTAGGTCATGAGGTTTTCAACAGTGGCAAAAATCATTTTTAGAGCTCTTATTTCCTCAATGTAATGTGCAGTTCATTATGTTTTCTGTACATTTATCGACCTACTTTTGTATCAGAAGAAGAAGAATCAGCTTTATTGGTTAAGTTTGCTCACAAACTCAAAAGAATATATAATTAAATATCAACAAAAAAAATACACAAAATAAACAAAGACTCATTTCTATTCTTTAACCCTTAGTTTTACAGTTGGTAATATCAGAACATTAATGTTGCATCCTCCCAGGTAAACACAGGTAAACAAGGTAAACAAAGGTAAACACAGGATAATTTGGTTTATTGTGTTTTTTTCAAATCGTGAAACTAAAAAGTTTGCTGCTAATAAATGATAAGTGGTGTTTCTGTTTAACTCTATGGCTCTGACTCAGAGGGACGGAAAGTCTTACCTTAACAGGTCAAAACGATCAAGAGAAGTATGTGTGATCTAAATATAGACAAAAACACGAAAAATAATGGCTACATCGGCTACATGGACTGTTTGATTCTCACATAATTCATTCTGCGCTTCGCCATCTCCTCAGTGTTTCCGGTTCCGGTTCGTCGCCAGGGAGACACACAGTGCGCCATGTTTGCGCATATTTATCATAGACTTTAAATATTTATACATAAAATATTTCGCATTTTCCGAGACGACTGTGACATTTTTTTTTTTTTATATCGTTAAAAAAAAATCGTCCAAAGTGTTTACGATGATGGTGAAATATTTTCTAAATATTTTTTTGTCATTATTCTATTTTTGCCAGCTGCTCCATTTGTTCTTGCTTTCATTTAGAGGAAAAAAAAATGTAAACAATTTATTTATTTGTTTAAAAAAATCCTCACAAACAGATTTTTTGTCATGTTGTGTAAGGTTTTAGTCATTTTATAATTAAAGTGAAAAATCAGAATCATTTTCTATCACTGAATACTGTTTTATTAAGAAATAAAGAAAAAGTTTGTGTGTTAAAGAGTTCATATGTTGAGATATTAGATCTGAATTTCTATATACATTGCACTGGTTTAGCCGTTTGTTTTCAGTACCGTTGACCAGCTCCTTATGCACAGTTTATATTAAATTAGTACAGATAATTTCCATCATTGATGTTGCCAGTTACTCATTCTTAGGATCATTTTATTTTTGATAGAAAAAAAGGGAATGTGAAATGAAATGCAGACGGGTGAATACCCGGTCATTGAAGGTTTCTAGAAGAGAAGCACCAAATCTTTTCAATCTTTTTTTTACACATAGCACACAATTTTAAGAAAAAGCATCTATGAATACTTAAACTGCTACATAACAAGCTGGAAAAAAAAAAGAAATATTCAATTGACTGACATCATATAATAGAGATCATCTTTTTAATTCATCAACTTGTACACACTTTAATCTCCATGTGTTTTCACTTCACTACGTGGCCTTCTGCAGAGGGACTGTTATTGGCAAGACTTCCATAACAGCACCAGGAGAAGGAAACCGCCAAATACGTCAAAATAAGAACCAGAGATAGAAAATCATCAGACCTCAGACGGAGCGTTAAAAAGATGTCAATCAGTCAGATTCTACATCGCAAAATAAGGCATCCCGATGAAGAGAATAAAGATAGAAACAAAAAAAAAAGGAGCTTGAGGACCGACTTTCAGTATGCTCACAGTTTTCTAATGTCTTCAACCTCTCCCATCACTCCAGGCACTGCTGTTTGATTATTTGTAATGTTATAGAGCTACTGCTTAACAAAACTATGATTTAATGTAACAAGCACACCACGTTACAAAACATAAATCCAACATGAACATAAATACTGATGTTTCACTCCTTAAGTAGAAACTCTTCACTTTGTCTTCGATGTCGCTGAATGATTGTTGAACCGAGGAGACCCTCAGGTGTGAGTCGTCTTTAACAGTAAGTTGTTACCCATGAAATGTTTTTGGCAGCTTAAAAACAGACGTATCTTCCCCGTTACAGTGAGAAACAGAATATTGTAAAGTACAAGGTCTCTAGAGCTCTTTAACAATCACATCTTTATCAGGTAACATTTTGTGAACGGATCAGGTTTAGCGCTTCCTGATATATCAGTGAAGGTGTGGGGGCTATCATGGATCCTGATTGAGACCATCTTTCCAGTAAAACAATTCCAGGGCATTTAAGAGGCCACATAATCGTCTGTGAAACTTTTATCATCCATCAAGAATGTGCTCCGTTAAAAGAAAGTCATTTTTGTTAAATTAAGATATCAGAAAATAACCACTGCCAGAATAAGAGGGCTTAAAATAAACAAAAAAAAAAAAAAAAAAGAGTATGCAGCACTGCTGGCGGCGCCGTCGATCTATATCGTGCTGATACCCCGAGCTAGATCTCAGAGTCAGGACGCTGTGATGCTCTGTTTTTGTTGTCTTAGTTTAGCATGTTGGAAAAAAAAAAAAAAAACTACAAAAGATGTGTATTTAGTCATAAAACAAGTGATCTACAAAATAAAATAAAGACCGTATAATGGTATTATAAGTCAGCGGACTGCTAAAACAAGTAGAATTAATTTCAAGAGAACTTTTATGTATGAGCAGATCTTAATCTAAGTTAATTTTGCAGACGTCTGGACATTTCCCTCTTTCAGTCTGCACCAGAGCGGAGATGGACTTAACTCTGTTTGAAAGCATCGCCCCTTTTTGATGGCAACGCTGGGAGGAAAAAAGAAAGGCTTCCACTCTCTTCTTGTGTAAAAAGTGAGACACCTTCGATACAGTATGAACCTCTCCCGACAGTTAACAGAAACACCTGGTTTATAAATCTACAGTACAGGGACTAAAATGGCATTCTTCAACATCAACAGTCCTTTTTCATGTTGTTTATATCAAACAAGGTCGAAGTAATCTGTGCTCGGCTAGTTGTTCTGAATTCACACCTCCTTCACTCACAGTGGGATGTTTTGTTTTTTTGACAACAGTGATAAGACTTTTTGGAGCACACACACATTATTGCACCAACGTACTGCAGTCCTCGTCTGTGTGTGTGACGCGGTGGATATGCTCAGAAAACACAGAGTGATGTCCCGGCACAGAGGCAGACGCTGCCGTCAGTACTGGAAGGAGATGACGGAGTTGACTTTGTAGATGTGGTACGAGCGGTTCCAGAAAACTCGAGTGAAGTAGTTTGTGTAGGGCGAGTAGTTCATCTTTATCTCCTGGCAGAATCGTCCGTGCTTGGAGAAAGAGTACATCACTCCTTTATCGTAGATGACCTGAACAGGACGAGAGGATGTGGAAAGATACTGAGATTAAAAGAGATGCAACCAAGAGACACAAAATGAAAAATGAAGCCGATGTTGAAGTGCAAAATCCTGCAGTTCACTGAGTGTCCACTAGGGGCTGGCTGCAGAAGCTTTTTGACAACTCATCAGTTTCGATTTTATGAAGGATAACAGTTATTCACAATTAAACACAATGATTGACAGACAGGCACGGTGTAAAGGTTTATCAGGAGGCTTAAAACCCGCCTCAGCTCTCAGCCTGTCGTTAGGTTGACTGATAGTTAGGATGAGACAGCATTTCCAGCATGGCGGCTGCTGCCGATGGGACTCCACAGTCCCCTGCAGGAACAGATTGGTGACCTCACTCAGGCTTCAAACATTCATATTTACAGTCTGGATGTAACACTTACTTAGAAGCTTCATTCATGAACAATAGTGTCCAACAATGAAGAAGAAAACACTGGCTTCACTTCCTCATTGGTATTACAGAAACTACATTAACTGTTCGTAACAACAGTTAAAAAATAGTTTTATGAATGCACTTATTTACTCTCTGTGAGTCACTACTATCAGCTGAGAACTAGTCCTACACCTAACCCCCATAAACCCACTGTGTTTTTCTTCTACACTTTGGTTTGAGTTCAAAAATCATATTAACTTCTCACAGATATCTGGGTCCTCTATGCTACCATGGGATTCTTTCTGTTGTAGTTAAGCAAAGGCGAGATCAAAACTGAATGAAAACCTCACCTATCAGATTGTATTAATTATTCTGTTCATGCTGATGGAGAATCTCTTTCTCTCTCCGTCTTCCCTTTGATGTGATTCAAAGACATTCAAAGATCACATTGACGCTCCTTTATCTTACCGAGTACCTCATGCATCATTTCAGAGACACGACACTCACATGTCCATTAGAAATGTCGAGCAGGTCTTTGATCCTACAGCTCCTCTGAAGACTCAGCTCGTTGCAAATCGACTCTTCGATGATCACGTAGTTCGTCTTCTGAGAGGTCAGAATCTTATAGACGTCCTCTGCAGACCTCATTGCGTACACCTGATAAGTCTAGAAGGAAAGAAATCAAAAGTATTACTGTTCATAAAGCTGTTTGGTAGTTCAACGTGCTTAAAGCGCGTTTCTATTCTCGTGTTAAAGAAAGAGCAGCAGCGAGGTGAAAAGGGACGACAGATGGAGAACAAGCTGAACACTTTGTAGGTCTTTAAAAGCTTGTTATAATGTGGATTATATTCCACTGCAATATATCTGGAGTACGTTTATAAAAGTTGACATTTCTCTGTGTCCAAATAGAGTTTTTTTCTAAGCACCAGCGTCTTTTTTCAATTGTTTTCAATGAGTAGAGAGCGTTTGCAGCAGCAGGCGGTCGCCTCGATAAAAGGCGCAGCGCCCAGCGTCTTTTTTCTGTTTTAATAACTGGAAGATTTGACAATCCAGCCTGGGAAAAAAAGTGACCATACTGTTCCAATTTATGGATTTCAATTGTTTTTTTTTCCTCAGATGAAGTTTCCTTCATTTCCCTTTAGGAGTGAATCTGTCATCTCACTCACATCCTCCGTCCTCCTCAGCAGGTTGATGTCGGAGTAAAGCGGTAAACTGGTCACAGCTGAACCCGTGCACAACTTCACGATTCCTAACAGCTGAGGGCTGCCCGCAAAGACCGCCGCCAGAGGAGCCTGAGACCTGGAAGACAAGACGACGACGACGACATGATGAGCCACGAGAGAGACTTTAAGGGTTACACAGACGTCAGATCGGAGGACTTACCTGATCCAGCTGATCAGCTCGACTGTGTCTGTGTCGTAGAACTCAGGGAGGTCCGACAGCTCTGCTAAGACACGAGGGCAGTACTGCGAGAGAGAAGAGAGCGAGGACGTGATGTGATGAGCGTTTTCATCTCTAGTGCAACAAGCTTCAAACAATAAGGAGCTAGGAGTCTTACCTCTCTCCACAAACTGAAGCCAATGATCGTAGGAACCGCTGTGCTCAGGATCAGAGACTGAGAAGTACAAAAAATAACAATATGAAGAGCATAAACAAGAACCTGGATGCTTCAGCATTTGCTCAGCATCTGCTGCTTAGTGAGTTTCAGACGTTACTCACCAGCACTACAGGGTGGATGGACTTCAGTCTTAGCCACTTAAAGACAGTCATCCACAGTTCTGGAGAACACACACCGAACGCTGTGAACATGCAGACGTACGGGGTCCATAAATATTTCATCCTGCATGAAAGAAAAATAGCCGTTTTATTTATGTGTTATAACTGAAAAGTTCTTTATTTACTTTAAAAACATGTAAGAACACACTTTTACTGTAACACATTTACCCATCGAACAGCAGAGCGAGGCCTCCAAACAGCAGCGTGTGAAACACGTGATAGATGACCTCGGGCTGCTCTCCTATTCGTCCATCTTCAAGTTTCAGGTTGGTTTGAATTGGTTGACCACTGGAGAAACAAAAAACTTTTATATCAAAGACTAAGCCCTCATTTCCTAGTAAAACAAAAACAATTCACTTTCAGGCAAGAGAAGTGGTTCAGATAGAAGTGATTGTACCCGACCTAAAAAGCCTCTGCATGTTTCTAATAAGCTCCACGAGCAGAAACGTGCTCAAACTAGGATCAATATTGGAGATGCTTTTGAAAAATAGAGAGAGGTTAGAACACAGAAAGGTTTACAGACCGATGCAGAGCTGGCTAAACACTGAAGCTTCATGTCCACCACATGGTGACCTCTGTGAGCATCGACTCCAGAGAGGAGGGGGAGGGGGGGGACAGCTCTCTACAATGAATTTGAATTTGGACTGCAGTACCCGTTTTAAACACTGGGTGTCAGAGTCACATATTGCTCCTTTAATGATTAAAAATGAAATGATCAAATTCTACAAATCAGTGTGAAAAGCTTCAGCTCTGTCAGTGTGATTGATGATCAGCGGCTCTGACAGATCCACAGCACAGCTCTCCTACCTGAGTCGTCTGTAGATGGTCTGCAGGGTGGACAGCAGGCAGACTGAGAGCACCAGCAAGTAGAAGGGAAGGACTGAGGCCTGTGTCAGGCGTAGAAAAAAGTCCTGATCGGGCGTCTGCAAACTCTCTTGGCACATGAGGAAGTTTGGGACGAAATCACTTCCAGAAAAGGAAAGAAAACATGAGATTATATTAAACACAGCGAGAACACAGAAGACGGTCCCAAACCACAGAGGATAATACACACTGGTACTAATGATATAAATCAGCTTGAACATCAGCTTTGAAAGAATACTTTTAATAAAGAACCTTAACTCACGTTGTCGTGTTGAGTCCAAATTTGACTTCCAGGAATTTCAATATGAAATCACTCTCACTCACAGGAACAAGTTTCTGTAAATAGAAAACAAAACTCTAGTTTACAACACCATGACTACATCTTAATGCTGACGACTTAGATAAAACTAATTTTACCTTGACCAAATAGCTGAAGGTGATCCCTGTCGTAAAGACAAGATGGAAATGTAGGAAGAGTTTCATGACTCTGGCCACAAGAGGTCCCATTTTCATATTTTGCTGCAACACAAATGAAGACAGCAGTGTTTTTTTTAGACAGTGCTACTCTGGAAATGTCTCTGAACTGAGAGGTTCAACCAGGACATCTGGTGATCAAACGATCATTTTGACGCCTCTGACTTGTCTTTGGAATGAGCTCTAATGTGAGGGAGCAGCTAACTCTACCTGGAAGTACCTCGCGAGCACTGATCCGAGCATGAGGCTGAGCAGAGGAGAGCTGAGCAGGGCCGGGTTCTGAAACTGGAACAAGTAGGCCAAGAACAAGGAGCTGAGGTACACCTTGTGAATGTCGGCCAGCTTAACAAAACATGGAGAAAGACAAAGAGAGAGAGAGTGCAAAGGTAAGGGAAACAAAGAAAGATGTTGTCGAGTAAAGTCTGGTTTATACTCCTGCGTTGAATCTATGCCGTAGTGGCCGACGCCGGGTGAGCACTACTTGTGCGTCTGTGTTTCTGCATAGCTAGTTGGCAGTGTGATCTCTATGCTAGTTATATTGCCAGTTTCTGGTTCTGCCATATTCTCTGCTTGTTTGTGTACAGGTAACCATGGCGACCGAAACTGAATTTTTGGGCTTTTACACATTTTCTTTAACCACATCAACAAAGGACCATATATAAATAAGCTTCTATTTGTTTCATTTTAATCAAAATATTTCACTCCTTCGTCAAACCACATCTGAGTTACCCACCTTGCGTGGCGGCACCAGGTCAAAAGAGTCGAGCAGGAAAAGGCAGAGGCCCTGGATGAAGAGCACGTAGTGACTGTGCTCCCACACCAGCAGGAAGGAGAAGGTGGTGGCACTCATGGTGAGATAGCAAAACATCTAGAGAAAAACACAGGTTATATTCACTTGTCTGCACCGCTTGGATACAGAGGACAGTTATTGAAAGAAAGATGATTTAAGAGATTCTTACTTCAGTGGCAGAGCTGACGTTATTACTGAGGAATCCGGTCAAAGCAGCAACCTGGCACGAGAAGAAAGGCAGAGCCCAGTTGTCCCGCAGAGGAATGGCCTGGTCCACTTTGGTTGTATCTGTTCTGAGGAAGAAAAGAGCCACAGAGGAGATGTAGAGCAGAAACCAGGGAAGGGTGTACTTCACCAGAGGAGGGTGGTGTGTGACACATGGATTCAAATATGACAAAGAAACACAATGAGGAAGCCTGTCTCACCTGTTGATCACATACCAGGCCACAGCCAACATGCCGGCCACCCAGGTGCCGCTCATCACCCAGCTGCACACAAACAGAGCGGTGACGTAGACCGCCTGGAGGCCGAAAACCGCTCCGACGTAGAAGTAGATCGGCTCCACGTCATCCTGAAGGCAGAGACAGAAACATCGATTTGTCGTCTGTTTGTGCGTATAGAAAAGAAAACGTATGGATTTCTGTTTCGTCGTACTTTCTTGCTCTTTCATCTTAAAGCCCTCTGAACTGGTTTTGCACGATGTGGTGCTCTACCAGTAAATTACATTCAATTGAATCCTCATAATTAAAAAAGAGAGATTGTGTGCTGTTACACTATTGCCCACTTGGAGGAGCTATTTCAAAAGATTATGCTCTGTTACAACTGTGAGACACCTCTATGCGTAAAGCAGGTCTTAAGACTTCTATGGGATGTGGGTTTACTCGAAGGCAAAGACGTCAGCATGGAACAAAAAGAAACTCTCATGTTCTCTACCTCGTGATATAAAGTGCTGATCATGAAGCTTCACAGACTCTGCAGGTCCCTGACCTCATGTTGGCTAAGATAGTATTCCAGACTTAACACAGTGTCCTGTAACGTTGCACATGTCCCTACTGCAAACTTCATTCAGAAGGTTCCAACAGCTAAAAGAAGCTCACCTGGCAGTCTGTGACTCGGTATAAGAAGCTCATGATGATCTCTGGAAACAGAGACAGACGTTCCACTGCGTTGATGGTTTGACCTGAAACTGTGTTGTTATCCAGCGTCAACTCATAAAACCCTGAAAAACACAAAACACAAAAAGAACAAGATCAACTTAAGAGTGTATTACCAACGAGAGATTGATACAACCTTAAATGTCAAGCAGTTAACTTTTTTAAATTGTCTTTCTTTATTGAAAAGCTAAAAGTGTATTTTTACCTCTTTCAAAAGACGGTGCTGCGAGCATGTGCTTGTAATAGTAATAATAGAGCCCGCTGCCTTCTTGGAAGGTGATTTCACGCTCCAGCTCCTGAGAACATTCAAGTTCAATTAAGAATTCATGCAATAGGCCACGGCAGTAAAGTGAAAAACATAATAAAGACAGGCTTATTACGAAGCAGCACACACCTGTCGAGTGGAAAACCAGAACTTCCTGTCATGATATGTAGACAGAAAAAACGCATAAAGGATCCCGCAGGCAACTGCAGCCAGACATCCGAAGAACACTCTCACTAGACGCTGCAAGAAACCTGCTGAGGAGCAGAAATGTAAAGTGAACGTCACATATCACAAGTTAATATTACATATCACTGCAACTATTCTTAACACACAGAGCATGTATGCATTGCATGATCAATATTTAGCACATGCAGATCTAGTGTGCAGCAAGATGTTGGAGATCTTCTATCAGTCTGTTGTGGCCAGTGCACTGTTCTCTGCTGTGGTCTGCTGGGGGAGCAGCATTAGAGCGGGTGACACTAAGAGACTGGACAAACTCATTAAGAAGGCCTGCTCTGTGACAGGCTGCACGCTGGACTCTTTTGTAGTAGTGACAGAGAGGAGGACTCTGAACAAACTGTTATCCATTATGGATAATCCTGATCACCCTCTGCACACCCTACTGGACAAACAGCGGAGCAGCTTCTCCAACAGACTGATACAACTCCGCTGTCACAAGGACAGACACAAGAAATCTTTCTTACCGAAGGCCAGAACTCTGTACAACAGCTCACCTCATGTGAGCAGAGAACTGTCATCATGATAATATCTGTCTCTCCTTTACTGTCATCTGTTCTGCACATCTTACATTTACAAATTATCCCTGCACTCATGTTCACTTCATTTGTCTGTCTACTCCGTTATATTGTATAGTTTCTGCTGATAATATGTCTACACTCATGCACTTTAACTTATGTCAATACTGTCCATTTACAACTCTGTTTTTGCACATTTACATTTAATCTTCCTATTTAAGACTAGTAATGTTTAGTTAAATCCTGGTTGTATATATTCACATTCTTAGTTTTGATATTTTTAGTGCTTATTTACTTTGTATTTAATATTATATTGTGTTTAGATTTGCTAACATTGTGTTTTTTACTCATATTGTGTGTTTGGATAACCTGCTGCTGTAACGCCACAATTTCCCAGTTTGGGATCAATAAAGTAATTCTATTCTATTCTACTCTATAATATTCTATTCTATTCTATTCTATCCATTTGAATCCTGCACAGCCATTTGATCAGGGTGATTTAGGACAGACAGATTAGTTTAAAGCACATTGACTTACATGTAGAAGTCCATTTGGCTCCTTTGACAGCTGACTCTGGTTTGTTTACTTTTTTATCTCCAGTCTCTTCTTCTTCTTCACCTTCATCTTTCTGCTGCTTTTCTTCTGCTCCAGCAGTGGACTCTGTCCCGTCCTCCTCTGTGTTCAGCGGCCCATTAACACCTGGACAGGTGTAACATGAGTTAAACTATTTCAGATCTACATGGAGTCACTGGTTGTTTTAGTCACTGCAGGCTAACTCTGTGTTTAGTAAGCAAACTGCTAAGTTAGCTGAACTTACGTGAAGTGTGCTCTTTGGGCTCGTCCTCTTCCTCTTCCTCCTCCAAAGTCTCTGTTTTACGACATCTTAAATCGGTCATGACGAGATGTAATTAATCCGAGAGGAGGTGTCTGTTGTTTTCAGACCGCAGCATGCTAGCTAACGAGCAGTTAGCATAACACAGGAGATGCTCACAGGAGAATACTATCACGTTTTGATAAGCCGAGCTTCCGTTTCTCTTCCGGCTCTTCTTGCTCTCAACTTTCTTTCACAGCTGCAATCGCATAGTTTCCGTTTTTGTGATGTGTAGGGAACCTCTTCACTGAGGACTACAGTCCGGCTGTAGCGGAAGTTGTGAATGACTGTAATAGAAATCAGCGAAGAAGACCAATAACCCCCCCTGGCTGCAGCCACGATGAAGGGGGCGTGGCCTGAGGTGGGCGGGACGGTACGAGGGACAAAACATGACTAAAGTATAAATAAATAAATAAATGTTGGGAGAAATGCATACAATAATGTATAAATAAATGCATCAATAAATATATAAATAAATATATGTATAAATATATAAATAAATGCAACAATTTATATAAAATATAAATAAATATATATATATATATGTATTTCTGTGTCCATGTTGTACAAGGAAAAGTAAATATGTAAATTAAGTGGGCCGTCTAACATTACTGAAATAGGATTGGTCAATTTTGAAAAGCAGACAGAAGCAAATTTATATAAATACTTTTCCTCTTACGACCTGGACACAGAAATAAATGAATAACTCACTTAATGTGGAAATGTATGCACTGATACATATATAACTGTAGAAATATCTAATAAATGAATAAATACATGTAAAAATATATAAATAGCCTTTTTCATTAACAAAGTGTATTTATTATTTATTCATTGATGTATTGTTTTCAGCATTTATATATTTATTTATATATTTATTGATGCATTTAATTCATTATTTTTTTATTTATACATTATTGTATGCATTTCTCCCAACATTTATTTATTTATTTATACTTTAGTCATTTTTTGTCCCTCATAGGACAGGACACCCGATGGGCGTGGTCAGTGTTGTATGGATGTTGTGATATATAATATTGTCTATGGTCGTGACACAAACATTACCATTTGCTAGCTAATCGCAAGATATAAAAAAAAAATATGAACCTGTAATTCAGTGTAGGCTATAAACAATTCATTAACTTAGTATTTTCTCTTCTTTATTATTATTGTTTATAGAATAGAATAGAATAGAATGTCTTTATTGTCATTGTATAATTGTACAACGAAATTATTTGGCTTCACCTTAAAGTGCACACACATACAAGCATCCACAGCTAAAAACAACAAAAGAAGAAAATAAAAAAAGGAACTCTCATTCAGGTAAGATGGGCAATGTATGGTCGGAGTTATTTACAGGTAGTAGCATAACAGAATATAAATAGATATTGCAGAAATATAAAATAAATATTGCACAGTATGAAATGTAAAATATTGCAGAAATAAAAAATAAATATTGCACAGTATGAAATGTAAAATATTGCAGAAGTATAAAATAAATATTGCACAGTATGAAATGTAAAATATTGCAGAAATATAAAATAAATATTGTACAGTATGAAATGTAAAATATTGCAGAAATATAAAATAAATATTGCACAGTGTGTGTAGTGAGGGTGGGACGGTCAACGCATGTCCAGGCTCAGTGTGGTTATGGCTCTGGGGAAGAAGCTGTCCTTGAGTCTGTTGTCCGTGCTCTGACAGACCTGTAGCGTCTGCCAGAGGGCAACATGTCGAACAGATGAAAGCCGGGTGTGAGCTGTCCTTTACAATGTTTTTTGCTCTGTTCAGGCAGCGGGAGTTATAAATGTCCTTAAGTGAGGGGAGTGTGCAGCCGATGATCTTTTGTGCGGTGTTTATTACTCTCTGAAGCCCCTTTCTGTCTGCTTCAGTGCAGCTGGTGTACCACACTGTGATGCAGTACAGCAGCAGGCTCTCGATGGAAGAGCGGTCGAAGTTCACCAGCAGCTGCTCATTCAGGTTGTTCTTCCTGAGCACTCTCAGGAAGTGCAGGCGCTGCTGTGCCTTCTTGGTGATCTCAGAGATGTTGGGAGTCCAGGAGAGGTCAGCAGAGATGAGGGTGCCCAGGAACTAGAAGGTTTGGACCTTCAAGTTTAGTCATTTATGCAATAATAACTTTTTATTTATTTATATCACACCTATAATAACAGATGTTTACAAAGTGCACAACAACACATTACGCATCAATAGTTAGGCCAAACAGAGATTAGTGTACAAAATTACACACAAGAACAAAATGTAAAAGCAAAGCAAGCTAGAAAAGAAAGTTAAGTATTTAGGTTTATATCAAGATAATGGAATACAATTGAAGGAGTGAAGCATGGGCGGTTCTAGGCAGGGGCCAACAGGGGCCAGTGCCCCAGGCCACAGTGAGCTTGGTCCCCAATGTGGCTACCCCTCCAAGTTAAAACTTGTTTTAGTTTGAAATAAACATGCTTTGTCTGTTTAAAAAAAAAATGTTGCTTTAGGACTGTTTTCTGACCAGGACCAGCGGAAACTCAGACTGCTATACAGACTCGTACACATTGTGAGCTGTCTCTTCAGTCGATTTGATGCTCTCGTATCTCAAGTTGCTGCTATACTTTCCATCCACAGAGCACTTTGGTGGATGCAACAGTGGGGTTTGTAGTTTTTAGAGCCCCCCTAATAACACATACACAGTATTTGACTCAACAACCGGACTCACAATTTAGTATTCAATACTGTGACTGAAACGAATGTAAATCATGGTATTTAATGTTGTGGTATTTAATGTTGTGGCATAATATATATATATATTTTTTAAAGCAATCATCTTTGTCTATTTTTCACCTGGGTTAATGTTCCCCTCTGACAAAACAGCTGGCCCCAGTTTGGCCCCCTCATTAAAAGTGAGGAGTGAAGAGAAGTATAAAAGCAGTTAAATGACACTTGGAATAATGAATAGCAGATTAAAGATTATAAAAGGATTAAAAATAATTTAAAAAAAAGAAAAAAGGCATAACGTCACAGAAAAAATAGTCGGTAAATAAAAGAAATAAAGGAAGACTGCTTTCTTTCAATAAATAAGAATAAATACAATACAGGCCTACATGTGTGACCACGCCCATCTGATGTCCAGCCCCGCCCCCATCCAGCGGGCTGCAGCCAGGGGTTGCATCCACGAGCGAGCGAGTAGTTATGGGTCGTCGGTGTGTGTTTGGTTGTGCGAGTTCTCGGTGTCTTTTCCCCTTTCCCTCGAGCCCGTGGTTACGGAGGAGGTGGCTGGAGTTCACACACTTTGAGGAGGGAGGCCTCTGCGCAAACTCACGCTTATGTGACCGACATTTTTCAGACGACTCCTTCGATAATCTGGGGATGTACACAGCTGGGATGGCTTGCTACCTGTCTCTGACAGAAAACGCGATCCCGTCGGTGTACACCGTCGGCACATCTCCTCCTGTTAAAGTGAGCAATCCACCAAACGGATCACAAATGAATCAGCTGATGTTAATGGTGATGAAATATTTCTGGATTTCTCCGTTTTTAGCCAGCTACGAGAGATGTTGCATGTCAGTGTGAAGAGGATCAAGACACTCCAAAGATACACAGGAGGAGTAAAGGTATCTCGTATGCAAGCTGCGAACCAGATGGTTTAACTTTTTCTTGCAACAACAGTAGACATCATGTTTGTCAACACAGCCAGGGGCGTGGTCAGAGAGGTGGCATGCGCCCATCTTGAAATCTGATTGGCCACCCCCAGGTGCCAATGGTAGCAGTGATTTGCTATTCACCCAACTAGAGGCAGCCCTTAAGTTAAAGTGACTATGTGGGCTGTTTTTCTACAGGGGGTACAGCCTGTACTTTACATGTCAGTGAAGTATGTTAGTTGTAAATTCAGATGTAAATGGGCGGCTGTGGCTCAGTGGTAGAGTCGGTCGTCTCTCAATCGGAAGGTCAGGGGTTTAATCCCAAACTCCTGGAGAAAAATGTGCATGTATGTGACCAAAAACTTAATGCAACACCTGCAGAAATCAGAGCCCCACTTAGGTCACCCTAGTCGAAAAAAAAGTCTGGAAACACCTACACACAGTGTCATCTTCTTACATGGAGAGTAATTTTTAACAGCATATTTTTATTGATTTAATGTCATGCACACTGGTGAATAGTGTCTAAGTTTAATATTTTTGTGTGAGTAAGCGATCCAAGTGCGTCCCCTGACAAAGACCACTTCGTCGGACACGTCAGATCGGTGTGGCGGTGAGTCTGACGTGCCGCCGCAGCTCACATCTTCACCTCTGAAAAGGCGATGGAGTGAAACGAGTGAGAGCTGGGAGATCACGGTGACCACCGACGACCCCGACGACCCTGAAGTGCTGTCGGACTCCGACTACGTGCCCGGTGACACTCAGGATGCCTTCAGTATCGAGGAGCTCGGCAGGTGATATCTGATGTGTGATTTGATGAGTCCTCCACGTCCTTTTTTTAAAATCATATTTATCTATTCATTTATTTGATCTTTAAAGTCCACCTGAAATATATAAAATGGAATTTAACCCTTTCAGATCACATCCAATACTGTATTACTCTGCACCTATTTAACAACATATGCCCCAAAACATCACAAAAACACATTTCTCTGTATATCAAAATCTAATCTCCTCTACTTCTCCTCCCCCTCCTCTCCTCGTCCTCATCTCCTCCTTCTCCTCTCCTCCCATCCTCCTCGAGTTAGAGCCTCATTATTGTGCTCCATGATCAACCTTTTTTTAAACAATGAAGTCATGGTAGTGTGGTTAGTTATTACGGAAATGTGGTAATATCCTGTAGGGGTTTTAGATCAGCTCTCTTCTGCTCCTCCCCTGGTAGAACAAAGTTGATCAGAAAGAGTGTCACACACGTCTGTAATGTGTTTCTTTCTCATGTGCAGCGCTTGCCCGACGCTGTACAGCACCAGAAAGTACATGGTGTATGAAGACAATCTAAAGCAGCTGTTCAGGATGTGCCCAACATGCACTCGCACCTGCCACATTGAAACAGTTGTGGTTGGGACCTTTGTATCCGTCACACAGGTAACTTAAAAACGTAGCCCCAGACAAAATGAGATGAGATGAGATTCAACTTTATTGTCATTACACATATACATGTATAGAGTAACGAAATGAGGTTTGGCATCTCATCAGAAGTGCAAATAAGCAGAAAGTGCAAGAGTCTGTGCTATGTACAGTAATTACAAAATTTACAGATGTAGACTAAAAAAAGTGAATTATTAGGTATATATGGATGGCTGGATTAATGGGATGCTATAAATATAAATAAATGCTATAAATATAAGTGTATTCTTAGGATTATAATATACAGATTAAGGTGCAGTGAGCATGCTATACTAGTTTACAGATAATATAAAGAATATGGACATATTGTACAGGTCGATAATATAAAATAACATCAAACACAGGTCTATATTATTTTACCTTTGAACGGGCTGTTTGCTTACATCATTTTGTTGACTTATCAAACGCAGGTATGTTCGCACTGTCTCCACAAAAAAGTTTGGAAAAGCCAGCCTCACATCGGGAGCATCCCAGCAGGCAATCTTCAGCTGTCGGCTGCAGTGGCTTTCAATGGGGCCTCGTACAATCAGATTCACAAGGTATGAATGTTTCTATACACCGCATTTTATTTATGAAGTTTTTGGGGGTGTTTTGTGCTTTTATTGGAGAGACAGGACAGTGGATAGAGTCGGATACTGAAGAGAGAGAGAGAGAGAGAGAGAGAGAGAGAGAGAGAGAGAGAGGGGGGAATGACTTGCAGGAAAGGAGCCACAGGTCGGATTTGAACCAGGGTCGTTCGCTTTGAGGATTGTAGCCTCTGAACATGGGGCGCACAAGCTACCCATGCTGTATTTTTTTAAAATTTTGCATTGCATTTGTGGGATATGGTTCATGAAGCTGAGCCGCATACATTTCCATGGTGTGATGAATAGTACGTGTTGTGTTGTTTCTCAGGTACTGTCATCACTGCGTCTGGAGTGCATTTGTCCCCGGACCTTCTTCCATCACCAGAGAGTTTTCCTCCAGCCTACCATACTCCTGCAGAGGAGGGCTGAGCAGCAGCAGCAGGTGATCGAGGGGGCAGAGCTCTCGGGAAAGCCCATCACCTTTGGAGCTGACTCACCAGGTTTGTACCCGGCAGCACTACTGTGCAATTTCGATTCTCATGGTAATGATGTGATAGTTGTCACTACACATTTTATTACAGTACAAAACAATACAGTACCATATGAGCAATATCACAAAACATAATTGGATTTGAGAATCAACAGAACAAAGACTTAGACGCAGTCCTTTCTAGAACTGCTCCTTTGACAAAGAACAGAAGAACAGCTTTTCACATGATATGTTTCAAATGGTCATGAGGACATTACATCTGCGTCAACAATACCATCATTCTTTCCCCGCCCCCCCTATAGACTACGTGGACAACCTGCAGGAGCTGCTTCTGGAGGAGGTGGCCCTGAATCCTGGCCCTTACCAGGAACTCGGAGACCTCGAGTGAAGCTCCATGAAAGTGTTGGCGCCACTTTTGAGAGGCCGAAACCTGCAGGAAGAAGTGGTCCACCACTGGTCTCGTTTTTGTTTTCTCAGGAGAGAGTGTAAATAAAACGTTTTTAACTGTCAAATAATGCAAGTCTGGTGTCGTTACTAGAGATTTATTCATTTATATATTGACATGAAAAGTTCATCAAACTATCAAAAAAATGAAATCAGTCAGGATGGCCGCTTGAAGCCAGTGTGAAAGAGTCTTCTTTATTTCTAGATTCTTAGTTACATGTTTTACAAAATGTGCAGCTGAAACAGGAATAACTTTTTTATCAAATCCTCCATGAACAATGACTTTAAAAAACAAAACACGTCAAGGTCTTGTCGTGGTAAATACGGAAATATGAATAAGTCAGATAATGTTGATTAGAAGAGTGTCGACCTGGGGCGCTGGTGGCACAGTGGTTAGTCCTTTCCCGCATGTCATTCCCCACTCTCTCTCTCTCCCTAATTTCTGACTCTATCCACTGTCCTATCTCTCCATTAAAGCAAAAAAAGAAGAGTGTCGACCTGTCGCTGCATGGATGTAAAGCCTCGGGCCTTCGGTAGGTAAGTACAACAGATCTGACATGAGTAACAATTTCTCCGGGATAAAGATGACACAAAGAGGAACTGTTGGTGTGTTTATGAATAGTCAGAAAAAACACACACTGAGTCGTCTGATCAAATGTTCTAGTGAAAGCAGTTTAATCAAACCCAGCAGGTTCTCCTTGATGCATGCTAATTGTACAGTGAACATAAACATATGAAGTAGAAATAGAACTTACATGCATGAGCCATAAACTAGTGTGTGATGTAAATTCATAGAAGAAAAAGGGGGAAGCCAACGCAAACCATAGGCAACACACAGTGAAGTAGCATCAAAGATTGAGCTTTAAAACCTACAGTCTGACCCCAAGTTTTAAAAAACAGGAATAAAAACACAATAAATTAACATGTACATAAGGTCTGTAGATAAAATGCTGAACATGAACACTAACGTGTGATTATTGGGAGGCATCTCTCCAACGGACTTTAAACGCTCAAGTAATTATTCAAAAGTGGAGCCACTAAGTGGTTCGAACTTCCTTTTCCAGAAGTTGAAAAGGTGATAACAAAATTGGTGTCTTCGACCTGTAACAGCTCTCTGCCGCCTGCTTAGTCTTCTTCTAAGGATTCCTGTGAACTCTCAGATTTGTTGCTCGACGTCTTTTCAGGATTCGGTGCGTCTATTTCAGAGAGTAAGAATAAAGTTAGAGGTTATATAACAGCATCAATAACAGTATCTACAGCTGGTGTTTCAATGTTTATCAGGTAATCACACTTTGCCCTAATGAGGTACTGACAGTGTTCAAACAGGGAATTATTTCATCAATGCAGAATTGGTGATTGGTTTGGCTGTAGCATTGGGTAAATGGACTTGAGCTTGTACATTTCTTTTCTAGTCTTCTGACTACTCAAAGCGCTTTTACACTGCAGGTCACACCTACATATTCACACACTGATGGTAGAGGCTGCTGCCCATCAGTATTAACTGATGTCACTCAAACACGGCTGACGAAGCAGAGGGAGCAACTTGGGGTTAAGTGTCTTGCCCAAGGACACATCAGACATGAGAATCGAACCCGAGACCGACTACTGACCCACAGCCACCGAATGCTACAGCCTCTCCATACAAGTCTTGCATCCTAATAAGTGTTGGTCACTGAAACCTTTTTTTAAAACCAAAAGTCAACAGGATGAAATCATTCTTTGTTAAGTGTGAAGTACCTGTGCTGGTTTTCTTTGAGCTTAATGTTGCCCCGCCGTCTTCACCATCACACCTCTCCAGGGTTATTCTCAGGTTTTTGGTGACTTGTGGGTGTTTTACTTTCTTGATTAAGGGTTCATCATCTGAACTGTCGCTTGTAGACCCTTAAAAACAAAAACAAAGAATAATGCAGATTGGTTAAAACGCTTTCTTCACAACTCAACAGCTTCTTGTATATTTGTTTATCCAGAAGAGGTTTTACTTGAGGGCTTTAACCACGATATCAGTCTTCTACAGATGCTTTCATGAAATGCTTTTTCATTTCTGTCCCCTATCACTGTCCTTGAGTCTTTACCTGACGCAACCGTCTTTCTGGACTTTCTGGGGGTCGTGTTCCTTTTCTTCGGAGCTGAAGCCTTTGTTTTTGTGTTTGTTTGTTTGCCTGTGCTCTTCTTTTTCACAAAATTAATCAAAGGTTCGTCGTCCGAGCTTTCATCAGAAGGTTCTGCCCCAAAAACAGACACAGCATCGAGATTTAAAGAGGCTTTTTAATGTGATGGTAGCAGATAGTATGATCTTATGATTAAAGCGACAGTACCTCGTCTCTTTCTTGAGGCACTGCCTCGGGACACAGCTGTCTTCTTTGTGGTTTCTTCACTGGCTTCTTCCTCTTGGAAATGAGGTTCACTAAGGGCACATCATCCTCATCCTCATCTGAACTGCTGTCTGAGGATGAAGAGTCTTTAAAAATAAAAGAGGTTAGCACTGGAACTATTTGTAATAAGTCTGCATTCAACCTACACTCTGGCCAGTGTGATAAAAGTGAAACTGACCTTTCGGTGGTTTGTCTTTAAGTTTTGGTTTGGTTTTCTTGTCTGTTGAATTCTTTTTAGGCACGTTTGTCAACTTCTTCTTCATCTCTGCAAGAGGTTCATCATCTGAACCGTCACTGGAAGACTCTGCGTATTTAACTGATACAGACAAAACATATTTAGTTCATTGATATAAGCCCTTTCAATGAGTCCTGTATCCACTCTTTTTAACACCTACCCTTTTTCGTTGCCACGTTCCTTCTGGATTTTGTATCTTGGCTCGCTATTTTAGAAGGAGTGACGAGGGCCTTTCTCTCTCGTTTATTGACAAGTTTGCTCAGAGGCTCATCATCGGAGTCATCAGAGGCTTCTGTGTAAGAAAAAGAAAAATAGTTATCTGCTACAGGAAAAAGCGAGTCTCTGTTGGTAATTCAGGGCGATAGAAAACAAACGTCTTACTTTTCTTTTTGGCGCGGGCAGCTTTTTTGGGTGGCACTGAGATAGGCTTCTTTGCAGCTTTGGCGATCTTTATGAGAGGCTCATTGTCAGAGCTGTCATCTGTGTTCACATCTGATGTTACACGTAAATATAGTTAAAAGAAATCCAAAAGAGAAAAAAATAAGAGAACACAGCTGAAGGTAATGTGACTACCTGCTTTCTTGTTACTTGTGCCGTTAGATCTGATGGGTGTGTTGCCCTTTTTCTGTGGTTTCTTCTCCAGTGCAGGAACTCTTTTCTTTTTGATTAAAGGCTCGTCATCTGAAGAGTCATCTGAAGCTACAAACAGGAGAAGATATCAACTTTTTGGCTTTTCACATTATGGCTTTTCATAATATATTCTCCTTCTGTTAGGTTGGGGTTGTTTCTGTTTGTATAAATCCAATGAAGAAATCGTGAAACAGACTGAAGATGATAAACCATTTAATCGGCCGAGGTCAGACAACTTCATCAAACAAGCACGCTTACAAATCACTTGACTGACAAAGTAACAGTGTTCACAGTGCTGCTTATATTCTGTTAAAAGGTGCAACCCACAAATTCCTTTCTATTTGGTTACATCACTATAAAACAATAAAGATGGCATGACACTGATTTGTATACGTAACAGATGTAGACTCAAACAGTTGTTGACAACAGGTTGGTTGGCTTTTACACAAATATAGATCTGCTTTAGGCGTTTCACCCATATAAGGTTACAGCTTCAGACACCTAAAGGTAGGAGTGTTAACAGGTGGTAGACAGACTTGAATAATACATTTCACAAAGTTACCAAGATGACTGAATTTCATGAAAATTCGTACTAACACCTTCACACAGCAGGATTGTTTACAGTCTTTCCTTTTTCCTCACCACTTTTAGCCTTAGCTTTGGACCCAACAGTCGGGCTCTTTTCACGGGACTGTTTCTTCTCACTGTGTGGCTTAGTCACCAGCTTCGAGAGCGGTACGTCATCATCCGAGCCGGAGCTGTCTTTCCCTGAAAAGTCAAAGACAAAAAAACAGAATGAAGTGCAGAACAAACATAACAACATTTCTTGGTTAAAAAAGTCATTGAAGTTAATCAAAGAAATTTGACCCATAAAAACTTTCTTTTTCTGTCTGAAATCAAGACTCCACTTTACAGTTTAAGTGTCAGATGAAGACCAGGCATAACAGTTGTCTCAGAAATATAAAGAAATTAAGATATTGTGTTGGCCTAATCATCTTATTCAATTACAATTCACTTAGCAGTATCCAAAGCGACGTACATCAGAGAGTAAGTACAACACAAGCAAGGATCTAGAAAAAAAGGACAATGTCAGTAAGAGCAAACAATCAGCTTTGAGTCTGATTGGACACACAGGTGCTGACAGGAAGTGACCAGAGGCAAAGCACAACATTGAGGGCAGTTCTTGAGAACTCTAATCAGTAAGAAACCATCTTATAAGTCATCGTTATCAAACAAAAACCATCGTCACTACCATCATCATCATCAATAATAATATCGAGTAGTATTCAAGAGTATGAAAAGTTGTTTGTCTTCCGATGGTGAATGCAATAAATGTGACAGACTTTCTTGAAGAATCAATGATTTCCGTGGCTACAGATATTACATTAGTAGTGGAGGTTTAGTTTCAAGTGGAGGTTTAACCCGAATAAGAGACCAATGGCCTGCAGTCAAAGTTATACTTAAAAGTATAGTCTAGACCTGCCAAGTGTTTAGAGATATGATCTGTTCGAAACATGTGCTCTACTAATAAAAATATGATTGATTGAATGCTGTAGAGTAAGAAGTCAAGTTATAAATGTTGGTTCTGAAATTGGTCCAAGTGTAAGATCATTATTATTAGATAAGATCAACTTTATTCATCCCAGCAGGGAAATGTAGATGTTCCAGCAGCCAGCATACATACAAACACACAACACAACAAATATACACACATATCCCACCATACAAAAAACATGAGCCCACAATACATAACCAGGATAAAAAAGTGGTATGGATGGTCCATGTGCATAAGTAGCTGTTACTCATATATAACAGTACAAAGTACTAGCTCTGCCAGTGCATAGTATGATAGATAAATAAAGTATTATTATAAGAAAACAGTCAAGTGTGCAAAACACAGTTTGATATATGCAGCTCAGGCTAAAGTTTAAAAGTTTAAATGTTATAAAATATGTTATTAAAGAAAGAGGAACGCTGCAGTGCCCAAATCAGCGCAATAATAAGTCGACACTTCAAACAACACACCGCCACAGCGTGAGCAAGAGTGACGTCACTGCTTAAGTTGTAATGTAGCTTTTAATTTAGTGTAACAGTCCAACAAACACCGACACACACAGCTCAAATTAATCATTAAAATTATGTTATAACAACCTGAAGAGTCGTGTCCCACTTTAGTTAGCCCTTCGGTTAGGCTGCAGTCCATTTTTTTGACGTAGAAATAAACGTTTATGAGTAAATAAAGCTCCCCATGAGAAGTAAAAACGCACCACCTGGTTTACCGTCGTTAGCTAATGTCGCTCGTTTCTTCACAGCTGTAGTCACTACCTCTTTAGTTTGCGGATTTGCCAGCCTACATTTAAGGTCAGTCTGCCGCGGGAGGTGATTAAACAAGTTTAAAACCAGTTTCTCCGGTCAGAACTACGACAGGTCCCAGTTCACGTTTGTTTTGTTTTCTTCCGCGTATGTTACAGAAAAAAAGGCGCGGAAAACGGCGAGTGTTGATGACGCTCCCCGACCTCATTCGTCCCCGTGTGTTCGGCGGTTGCTTAGCAACAAAAAAAAAGTAGGTCTACACCTAAACTGAACGAAACTTAAAACAAGTGCAGAATAACTAAACAATTAAATACAAACTTAAAACTCAAATCTTGAATGAAAAGGAGAAGAAAGAAAGAATAATCTTATAAAATCTACCCCTCTTTCATAAGACATTAATTAACAAAGCACCGAATTAAACAAAAAAATAAAGAATGATAGAATACAATACAATACAATACAATACAATACAATATAATATAATATAATGGAATAGAATAGAATTACTGATTATTGATCCCAAACTGGGAAATTGTGGTGTTACAGCAGCAGGTTATCCAAACACACAATATGAGTAAAAAACACAATGTTATCAAATCTAAACACAATATAATATTAAATACAAAGTAAATAAGTACTAAAAATATCAAAACTAAGAATGTGAATATATACAACCACGATTTACCTAAGCATTACTAGTCTTAAATATGGAAGATTACATGTAAATGTGCAAAAACAGAGTCGTAAATGGTTGTAAATTAAATATTAAAGATTAAATGTAAATGTGCAAAAACAGAGTTGTAAATGGACAGTATTGACATAAGTTAAAGTGCATGAGTGTAAACATATTATAAGCAGAAACTATACAATATAACGGCGAGTAGACAGACAAATGAAGTGAATGAAGTGAAAGTCAACTTTTAGAATAATAAGAAGCCTACTAAAGTCATTTAAGTATTAGAAAAGAAAAATAGCGAACTCAAACTATATTTGGACACTACAGTGTTCAGGTGCAGTGGAAAGTCAATCCACACACTGTAGGTTGGTTTAAATCACAAGTCTGAAAAAGGACACAATTAGTCTTAAAAGTATGGCAGTTGATAGCTCAGTTTATTAGACACATACATGATAAATAATCAAGCACTAACATCTGACAAACAGGACATGATCACCTAGATGTGCTGACCTAAACAGAAATATGAGGACCTACATGTAAAGCTTAATTAGTCAACATTAGTCAAACAAAGTGAGAGCGTTGTTGTGCTGCTCTCCGACACGTGATCTCAGGGAGTTAAATGTTCAGGGACTAATACAACAGAATATGGATGGTTGTGTTTTAAATTTTTTTTTGTTCCATCATCATTTTCTGAGAGGTGTTTCGATCACATCCCTGAGACAGAAAGGGGACAACCCGGTGTCTTCTGATCGTACTTAGTCCTACGTAGAATATAACTCGTCTTACACATTAGCTATTCATTTATTCTTTTTAATATAGATCAAAAACTGTTCAATCAAAAGTGCCACAGCAGAAGTATGCATACTAGATATCTAACCATTTGTCCATTTTATCTCAATACGTATACCAACACATGAATCACAAATGACACAACACAAATTCATTACGGTCGTATCAAACATGGGTAACTCATCAAATACAATTACATACAATTTCTTGAAACCTTATCCTAGGAGATCCAATATAAGTTGATTCATGATTCAGTTGTAATCCATGATTTGACAATTTGGGAGTTTACCAGTGTTTCATGCACCCTTGTCTCTTAAATATGACATTTTATGACCATTTCATCACAAGCGTTTCTACAGATCAGTTCATTTAACTCGTCCAACTCATCATCAGGTTAACCAGCACAGCAAACCCTGGCAGCGCTTTTCTATTTTTTATCAAACATTCATTGCATGATGTCAATCCTTTTTGCATCTAATCACCAACAAACACTTCTTATAGCTGGATTTTTTTGATAAAAATAAAAAACAGGTCATCGTCTCTTGTGTTAAATGTGTTGAAGCACCTGAAGACCTCTTCATGTATTTGAAATGGAAAAACAGGTACAGTACAGTGAAACCTCATCCCTAGTTGAGTTATTTAGAGTAGTAGTCCTAGGTGTGCAACGGTTTGTCTCAGGGCAACCCGTGTGTTGATGCTGGTGTGTTTTTTTTGTAGTTCTCTGGGTTTCATAGAGTTTACATAGCAGTCATCTTGCTTGCCTCCCTGACCCCGCTCAGGTAGGCTCCCGTCACAGTTTGCGGAAAATGTCTGTTTGTGGCCTGGTGACAAATCACAAAGACAATGACACAATTAGAAAATCACCTTAAAGTCTGCAGTAAAATCTTTAAAGGTCACATATTATACTCCCTTTTCAACCAGTTTAAATAAGTCTCAGAGCTCCTCAAAACATGTGTGTGACGTTTCTTGTTCTAAATCCACTTTGATCCTGTATTTGATCATGTCTATAATCCCCTCTATTTCAGCCGTGCTCAGAACAGGCTGTTTCTGTGTCTGTACCTTTAAATGTAAATGAGCTGTGTCTGACCACGCCCCCTCTCTGGAAGGGCTTGGGTCGGCTCGGGCTTTCTTGATCCATGTCCTATTGTTTACGGTGAGAAGGCAGACTCAGAGGGCAGAACAAACACCTAGCTGTGGGAGTGTCACCCACGTGGGGGAGGGCTACTGCCCTTTGTGATGTCACAAAGGGAAATTCTCCAAACGGCCTGTTTGAGCACACATTTTCTGAAAAGTGCAGCAGGCAAAAGACGAAGAGGATGGACTTTTCTCATAATTGGGGAGTTTTTTAGACAGACTAGAGACACATATTAGTGTTACAAAATATGGTGGAGAGTATTTTGCACATAGTGTGACCTTTAAGTACGGAAATTAAGTACAGGAATATCCAAAGACATACTAGTTTAATAAAGATAATCAGTCCAAACTCACATTACCCCTGTAATAAATGTTAGCAGACACGTTGCAATCACACGTTACCTCGCCAGCAAAGAAGACTTTCCCCTGCACGTCTTCAGCAAGGATGTCGTAGGCCTCTCCACTTCCTCCTGTCTTCACAAAGCTGTAGGACATCTGCGACCACTTGTCTTTGCTCCAATGTGTGACCAAGTAATGCAGCGGCTCTGGAACCTCCTATCAAGAATGACACACAGCAAGATTCAGCAACAGTAATGAGGAGCACACAAAACAAGAAGAGTGAGGACGTTTGCACCCTAGGTGCCATAAATTATGAGGCCAGTCAAAGAGAGATCACAGTTCTTTGTTATTTGAAGCAAGACGCTTAGTAGGAACTTCAAGACTTTAGCTGGGTTTCAAAAATCAGACAACCAGGGTGAAAGTTTATCTTGAACACTTAATACGTTACCTGTTCTTTGAAAAGCTCGCGCAGGACCTTGACACACTCGTCCACCACCTCCTTGTCCTCCAGGTCCCGGACAGTTTGAACAGCATCACCAGTGATAACAGACATGAGGACAGCCTGCTTACCCTACAAAACACATACACACATATTCAAAGAAGGCTTCATACACATTCATTCAATAAATTAACTCTTTATTTGAGCTGTCAAACAAACACATTCTTAAATCGCATTTAATTGTATTTTGAATCGCAATTTTTGAATTTGGCATTTAAAAAAAATATTGTTAGGCTTTTATTTTGAAGTTTTTTTTACTGTCATAAGCTGAGAGTACTTTACTTGCTGTTTGAATGGATCCCTTCTTTTATTTTGAAATGAAGTAAGGACCTTCTGCTAGATCGAAGTGCACGACATGAAGTTAAGCACAGAAACAGGAAGTGGTTATGGATCACAAACTGACTTCAAACAGCTCAAAGGAACGGCAACAAATGTGTGATGTCATAAGGCGGATATTACTTTGGACTGAGAGCCTGTCGTACACGAGTAGGCCAAACCTGTTTTCCCAAATAAAAACAGAGGTAGAATTTCTGACTGGACAGTGTCTGATTCTAAGATTTTTTTGAGTGCTAATGTATGATATTACTGTATGGATAGAAATGTGAGAAATGTATTATATCAGGATAAGCCCCTTGAGGTGTATCACCTCCTTTTCAAGGGGGTCCCAAATGGGAAAAATCAAACCTGTGGATCCATGTCGTAGAAGACACTGAACATGCCCCTCTTCTCAGGACCTGGAGGTATGTGACCAAAGTAGTCTGCCCCCTGGATTTTCTTATCCCAGAATCTGTACGGGAACTGAAGAGCGATCTGTAAGAAGTAAAAAAATATATATATGTTAACACTCACAGAGAAGCACGTCCTGGTGACCTGAACCTTTTTACAACGATGAATAAAAGAAACCTGTTATGACCTTTTCTATGATACCGGCTCCCAGACTGTGGATCGCTTTCAGTTTCCTTTCAGGAAGCGGAGGGTTGAACTGGATCAGGTTCTTTTGTAGTAAGGTCAACGGGACTGTGACAAGAACCTGACAGAGGGTAAGGATGTTCAAATTCTACATTATGACATCATGAGAAGCAGCAGGGACTACAGCAAACGTTTTTCTGAAACAACACTTTTCTAACTGACATGTTCTCACCTTGTGTGCTGTCCACTGAGAGCCATTGGAGGAGGTAACTTTGACAACATCACCTGAGTAATCAATCGCCTGGACCTGGAATTTAAAACAAAAAAAGGACACCTGGTGATTTTTAACAATGCAGTATGCAACCCGGTTTCAGAAAGGTCAAAGTGACAGCTGAAATTAGTGAAAGGACTGAATTAAGTTCAAAGACAAACCGGGCATTTTGTGCGGATGTCGAGCCCCTCGCCCAGCTTGTGGAGTAAAACGGAGTAGCCCTTTGTGAGTAAAGTGTGGTCTCCTGAGAACTGGGCAAAAAACTCATTGTGGTCCCAGGATCTTGCCGATACCTAAAAAACAAAGAAAAAACTATATTTCAGAACATTTTCTTCATCATTCTCTTGAAGAAATAAAATCAGAATCCACACAATTTGAATATTTTCTAATAGGTCGGACAAAGACAGGGATTCCAACACAATAACTCAAAACCTCAAATACAAAGACACATGGAATACTATAGCTTGATCAAGAAGTCGAAAGTTAAATTGAGCCATTCCGTAAAACCCTTCATGCTATTATAGAACGTTTTCAGAGAAGATACGATGGTTGATTTGAAAGTAAAATGTATTTCTAACAGTGAAGCAGCCATCTTCATTAAAACACAGAACATGCTGAGGGAAATAGATACCTCAGAATCATTTATTTTTCAGACTAAAATAAAATTGGATGCGACTGAGATTCTCGCAGCTCTTTACAGTTCAGGTTGTTCATACCTGGTCTAACGTGCTCCCACAGGCGTACTCCAGGTTGCTGAGATGAAACTGAAGCACTTTCTCCTCCAAATCACTGAACTGCATTCCTGAATCCTGCAGAAAGTTCTTCTTCACCTCCTGGACTTTTTCTGGAGAGAGTCAGTGCACACAAGTCCGAGGTCAAATATGTCACAACACCAACCAAACTCAGATCTTATTTGTTTGTTTTTTTAATATAAAAATAAAGGTTGGATACAGAGTTTTTTTTTGTCAGCACAACTTTTAATTATGTGTAGTAAAGTAAAATCCATTCATGTGCGTAGCTGCTGTCATTGTTAAAAAGATGGAAACGTTGTCAGAGACATCATGCAGCAAAACAAAGAAGAGTTTTCCCAACAATGAGCGAGGCGATGTCTGCGAGCTCGTTCAGGCAGACACCTCGAGCTGCACTGGTTGGGGGAGAGGGGGAGTCAAGTTGTTGCTGCTTGATTTATGTTTCTGTAAAGCACTTTGTACTACATCACTGTATGAAAAGTTTGATTGATTGATGATTGATATTGGGTTTCTATTTCAGCTAAAAGATTTCCTGTCTCTCCCTCTGCTCTTTCATTGCCAGCTCTGACCTGCAGCTCATTGCTCATCCCCAACACCACCCCAGCCTCCACCTGTAGGCCCCGACGGGGGTTTTAAGATATCATCTCATCACTCCTCAGATTTCTGCATGTAAAATAAACTGCGAGGAGGTATGATGTCGGAGCCTCAACGCCAAACACAAACTGTGTTCTGCTGCTTCAACACAAGTCTTCTTTCTGCAAAAGTCTTTATTTGTCCCAATATATGTACTCAGTGTAAGCACATATAAACTAATTGTCTGATAACAAGAGGTATAAACTGGTTGTTTTTCTTTGTTAAATTGGTTTAACCTCCGACTTCACATTCAAACTTTACGTGATGTTTTAAAATAACAGTTCAGCACCTTTCAGCGGTGTGTCCTGGTTCTGCGACTTGTCCTTCCTCCACTCTGACACGACGTCCAGGATGGCATTGAAGTGGAAGTCCATGCGCTTGTCGATGGCTGGGTCAGTAGCCTGCCCCCCCTCCTGGAAGAGGTCACAGCGCTCTCCCAGCTTGTGCATTTTGATTCCAATCTGCAACAGAAGAGCCACAAGTGGACGGAAGATCAAAACACAAGAGTTAAGATCAGGCTCAATTTACAACTGACTTTTCAAGCTCCTCATACTCCTCCTACCTGTTCACACATCAGGCCGATGGGGTTGTTCACACAGCCGTTGACAATCTGAGCTCCTCTGCCGACAGTGACGCCCAGAGAGGCATCATCCCACACGCGACCTCCAATTCTCTCCCTCGCTTCAAGCACCATCACCTGTAGACCCGAGGATAACGAGGAGTGTGAAGGCACAGCGCTGTTACAAGAAAACTGGGTAGAAAATGTGCGACAGAACATTTTACCTGAGTGCCAAAGTTTTGCAGCTGACGCGCAGCAGCCAGACCTGACGCCCCGGCACCGATGATAATAACATTTCTCTGCAAAAAAAAAACAATCAAATGTGAGACTACCGCAGCTTTAAATAGTGTTTGCAATGTGTTCTTTAGTTTGACGATAGAGTGACAATAAGGACACTCACTGAGCAGTATTTTTCAGGGAGCAGAGGCCGTTTCACTGCCAGCACACCGGTGTTTATGAGACCTTTCCTGGTCATGAAGTGCAGCACACGGTCCATCTCCTGCACGCAGCGCACACGCACCAAACCCCGCACAATGATGTTCTCAGCACATTTCTGGGAAGTCAGCACCTCCTTTAGGAAAACAAACAAAAGAAAACAACAGAAACAAATCAGTATCTTGTTGCTTTCATGTTATTCAACCACAAATGTCTATTTCCGTTCAAAAACTAAAAGGGAAACACATGCAATGTAAGACACTTTAAGAGGATGTATGCTGTGCACCTTGCAGCTCTTGTGCCAGGAGGCCAGTATGAGGTTACGCAAAGCCAAATACATGGTGGGATCACGGGAAAATTCTGGAAACTCATAAAGCTCGTCCAGCTCCATCATATCTGGCCGCACGCACAGAGCCTTTCCACACTCGTTCGGCTGGTAGAATGGCTGAAAGTACGGACACAGGCCTGGAACTGAGGGACATAACGGAGATCATTACAATGTGGTTTAGACTGATACTTCTAAAGGGGAGCTCATCTAATAGTCAAAGACTCACTCTGAGGCTGGACGGCTCTGCAGTGATCGGCCCTGAGCTCAGACAGAGACACGCTACTGGAGGAGCCTGCTGGACTCATCCCCACACAGTCAGGGTAGTACGCAGCAAGGAAAGGGCTCGCTGGACTGTCTTTGAACAACGGCGGCAAAATCAACATCGAATGCCACCAGCTGTCGGTCACCTCTGCCACTCTCTGTCAGAATTCAACAAAACGGGAAAGACCATCAGCAAGTGTGACAAATCAATTTCATATATGAAACTGCTTGAATCCAAAAGTAAATAATCTAACACACAGCAACATCTTACCAAGTCCTCTGGCTGGGAGCACTGGTCCGGTCCCTCACTCTGCAGGAAGAAAGAAAGATCATTATAGGCACATACAGAATAAAATAAGTCGACTGTAAATCCTCTTTCCTGTTACCTTGATGTTGTTGAACTTCATGCCACAGCGGTACGTCTCTGCTAGGGAAGCAGTGAGCTGGATCTCTTTAGTCAGCTGTCGCCACTTCCTACAGTCCGGTCTCGTGCATTGAACCTGAAAGGGTCGAGAGAAGAAAGAAACATATCTGTATTTGTAAGAGGGAGAACTTAAACATGTGACCTTCAGTTGTTTAAAAAGGCACAAGGAAAGAAGTTCTGCATTTACCCAGAATGGTAGCTGCTGATCTGCCATGAAAGCTTTGAGACTGGGCTCACTTTTCCCGTTACTAGTCCACACTTTCTTCCAAAAAGCAAAAGTCTCATAGCCATCTTTGTGACTGCCAATGGAAGAAAAGAAAAAAAAAGGGGGATTTTATGTCCTTAATTTAATAGTTAATAAGATACAGAAGCATATTTATTGTTGTTCTGTCAACATTACCTTCTGTAGTAGTGATCAAAACATTCGTTGCAAAAATGCTCCCCACATGACAGATGATACCAGCGAGACGTGTATCCGTTTTTAGCACATCTGGGAGAACACATAAGAGCGTGAGTGTGTGTCTCTGTGTTTAAATGTTTGGTATTATGTTTTGGATTCACCTTTTATTTTGATTTTGTATTATGATGATTAATTTATGTTTCGCAAGGACCCCCATGAAAATGAGACGATGCATCTCAAGGATCTACCCTTGAAATAAATCACAAATGACAAAGATTCACATTACCTTTCAGATGCACTTGCGAAACAAACCGGGTATGTGGCAGAGCATCCAGCCTTCTCACACTTTCTGTACTTCTTCTCGGACTGGTCGTCTTCTTCCTCCGTGTCCGTGGCTTTCCGTTTGCTCTGGAAGAGAAGGTCATCAACTAAAAGACAAAAACAGCTGACTGAGGCTTCTCTCAAAACTTGGGTTCCCGGAAAAAAAATCCAACCACCACTGAGTGTGACTGGTTAAATCACGCAAGGAGTCACAAGGTTCCACTTAAGAACGTTTTATTGAACTTGCTGCTTGACAAGGTGTTCATGCACATTTGCATGAATGTGTGAATGTATCTCTCTTCATGTTTGTGTATGCGTGTGTGGTTTATTATCAATGGACGCACACAACTTAAACTGTAAACTCTCCGGTCTCTCTCTTTCGAACACTACGGAGCCCGAAACTACCACAGCTAGAGGGTTTTTATGTTTTTTTGGAACAGTCCAAGAGGAGCTGGCCTTTTTAACATCAACAATCCCCCATGCACTTTATTGTCAGAGTTCCTTTGAGCAAATTCTGCACAGCAAAGGTCACAAGTGAAGATGTGCAATCTTTTTTTGGGGGGGGAAGCAGCTGATATACTGTCATTACATTTGATGGAAAGTGTAGAACCATAGGGGGGGGGGATTCTGTAGGAGATACAGTCTGAGGATTATAAAGACACCGTCACTGCTACATTCAGCAGGGAGACACACAGAGGTTAAAGGTGAACGCTGCGGGTCACCTGTCCAGGAGGAGGGTTGTTGGTGCGCTTCACTCGGACGGTGATCTGCCTTCCCGAGGAGCGCAGGGTCTGTCCGTCCCCGGAGACTCCCCGGAGCTCCTCTTCTTCGCCCGCCGAGCACCAGAGGCATTCCCAGAGTAATCTGAACACAGCAACAACAACAACAACAACAACAACAGTGGAAAATGCATTTCTGCTCAGTTTAAATGGGGCCTTTGTTGTGACTGATATACATGATGTTTACAGAACGCGTTAGAAATTGGTCAAAGCCAATGAAACAGCACGTTATTCACATGTAAAAACAGAAACGCGGATGACAAATAGACACATTGAAAAGCTCTTTAAACCAGCCACACTTTAGCATTTAGCAAGCATGAGCAGCGTGTTACGAAGACTCACCTGCATCCGACAGCATGACCGACTGCTAAAACCCCGGGATTAATTTAGCTTTATTTAGTTTCTTTGACGTTTTGTTGTTGTTATACGTGTCTAACCCTCTTATTGTTGTGGGGGCCGGGGGGGGAATCAATGCGCTGTGTGTTGCGAGAATACCACTTCCGGTTTAAAGAAGAAGAAATGGGCGTTCCCTTTCTTTTTTTTCTTTTTTTTGGCGATGAGTTTTGAACTCCGCTGCTTGCCGTTACTACTTGGTCACCAAGGCAACGGTAGTAAACGCTGTCAAACTTGGGTCTGCATAAAAGGGAAGAGAGGAAGGGAGATGTTTGGCGTTTATTCGAGATGATTTTTTTTTTTTTCGTTGAAAGAAGACACCAGTGGTTTTAGGTTAATTTTCTTTTTAGGTTAGCTGGTGTTATTCGCATACAAAAAATATTATTATTATTATTTTTTTTTTATAAAATATATTCGAGCGACTGGTTTCCACGTCAGACAGACTGAAGCCCAAACACCTGGAGGCGGATAATGTTTAAGTTTACCGCTGGAGTGAGAAGTTAAAGACGTTTTCTCGAAGTTTCTCTGACATTTACAAATGGATTCAGGCAAAGTGTTGCACAGAAGGAAACGGGACATTCCTGTAATCCGACCAGGAGCATCAGATGAGCACCAGCTTCTGGTACAGTAAACACTTTCTACCTGAAAAACCTCCTTTAGTCCTTTTATTTTATTTAATTTTTTTATTTTATTTTTTTATTAGGTGATGCAGAACAATACAAGACGGGTGAGGGACATGACAAGAGCAAGTAGTATGTAGGAGACAGGGGAGACACGACGATACAATGCACAGCATAGACAGAGACAAAACAGGCAGGGAGTAATAATAACGTTTAGCTATTTTGTATATTAAGGGTGTTGAAGGGCCCTGCTTGTGTGTGTGTGTGTAATTCAAGTGTATGCTTGCATTTTCTTTTTTTCTTTCCTCTTTTTCCTCTTTATTCCTTTTTTTCCTTCTTTCATTCTATTTTTATTTTTATTTTTATTTTTATTTTTTCCTCCTTTTTTTTCTTTCCCCTTTCCTTCCCCTCTTTCTTTCTATATATATTTTCTCATTTCCACCACTTCAGTCACTGTGCGATGCAGGGGTGCCCCTGTCTCAGAACTTTGCCCCCAGACCCTGCGGAGGGGGCCAGCCGATAGGGTCGCTCTTTTAGTCCTTAAGTAAATACCTTTACATTTATTTTACAACGACATTATCACAGCTTATACTCTTGAAACCACCAGAAAATTAGATAAAAAGTCAAACATGCTATTTTAATTTTAATTTATTGATTAAACACATATACATACAAACAGCAACCTCAAACAATCATCAACAACAATAAATAGGCCTACAGGACAATACCATAGACTTTAAATATTAAAATACATGTTGACATTATACAACAAAATGTAACACAGGAATGGAATACACAGTTCACAATTTCATATTTACGTTTTTAAGTCATAAACTAATTGTGTCATCTGCTTTTATGAAATACTATATTTCAAAACATTCTCATATTTTCTCAAAATAAACTTGAGTCTCTCTTATAGATTTAAATCCTTTTTCATATAGGGTTGCTCAGTATTCGTCAGTTTTATTGCTAATATGCAATGCTGACACATTTTCCCACATGTTTTATGTCACCAATCAAGTATTTATTTAATACAAAGAAGGTAAACAAAAATGAAGTTACCATGTTTCTACTGGGAAACATTTTAGTTTTCAAGTCATCCAGTTTAACAAAATTCATCTTTTAGCAGCCAAAATTGTTCGTCCTATTTATTTTGGAAAGAAGCTGATTCAATACAAAAATCTCACTTGTCACAGCAAAGGTAAACAAAGATAGGAAACAGTGGAAAGTAAAATATGCTCTTTTGAAAAACAGTTAAGTCATCACTGACTGTTACAATCAAGGTTTTTTTTATTGTGCGAATGTGAAAACAGTCAAGTGCTAGATGATAAAAAAAACAATGCATACAAAACATAAAGATGAGGACAGAGACAAAAATACTGCAAAATACTGAGCCATCAACTAGTATAGACTTCAACAAAAAACAACAACACTAAACAATACGGAATAATACAAAATAAAAACTATAAGAGAGAGAGAAAAGTGGAGATGGTACTTTGATGGCTGGTGGCTTTGAGAGGGAAAAGAGAGACTTGGAAAGGGTGTTTATCTGCTTACCTGTGTGAATTTTTCGTCTGTAAATGTGTTGATATGTGTATTCATCATTATGGTGTTAAAAGTCAGGGTTTGAGTCATGTTTATATTGTTTGGTAAGGGGCTGCAGGAAGAGTTTTTGGGGTCAAAGCTCCACTGTCGGTGATATGAGGCAAAGATGGAGGCAGGCTGATGTTATTTATCTAATTGTAGTACCTCCAGTGTGGTTTTTTTGGGGGGGCTTTTTCTGCCTTTAATAGAGTTAAAGGACAGAGTCAGAAACCGTGGAGAGAGAGCTAGGAACGACATGAATTGAAGAAAAGTCTGAAGCGAAGGAGCAAAAGAGTCAGAGATACATTGCTAAATATGATTTATGATGTTTGCACATTATGATGCAGTTTTTTTTTTGGTCATGTCTTCAGAAAACTCTGATTAAATGTATTATACATAGTCTAATTGTTGCATTTATGTCCCTTTGTCATCAAAGAAGAAAGATGATTATGTCAGTAACACACCTGAACTCTAATTATTCCAACAGGTCAGTGCTAAAAGTCTTGAACTCAGTAAGGTGATTCGTCTTCTTGAAGATCCTTTGACTGTAAGTTAAATATGAATGTCAACATGCTAATCACTTTAAAGTTTTGTTATATAGTTTTAAACACTCTACGTTGTGTTTTTTTTAATAAAGGCTAACTTGAAGGAGCGCCACCTTTTTGTCCTGAAGAAACTCCTGAAGAGAAGCCAAATTGGTTTCGTATCCTTTCCTCTGACATTGTCTTCTGACGATGCAAAAATTCTCTTTCGAGACGTGTCTTTTTCCACAGGTTAAACTCGCTCAGGTGTCACACACGGCAGCAGTTTGTCAGATTATCCTCCTAGCTGTCCCCTGATACAGAGATGGAAATAGATTTGCTTTCGTGCAATCTAAAAAAAAAAAATGGAGCTGAACCTCGGTCCCAAGGCTCTAATTTTCCGCTGCATCGCTGTGTCTGTCAGCGTTTTCCCTGTTCTGAAATAACCTCAGTTATCACGATGAGTCAGTGCCCCATCATTTAAACCCCTCTGCTGGCAATTATCTCTTCACAAACAAGCACATCAACATGTTCAAACTTCTTAATTTATTTCAAGCTTTTGAAGGACCTGACAGGTGTAGCCAAAATACTCAACATCTGTGCTGAGAAGGGGAAGGATCACCCTGAGTATTTATCCATTTTATGTGAGGCGCTAGAAATTTGTGGGTAAGTAACTCAGACATTTAGTGCACACACCCACTGATGTATTCAGCCTGACATCATCTGAACATTAACATTTTTCTTTCCTTTGCCTCAGACTCCCCTTCCTGAAGGAGAAATCATCTGATGAGCTGACATACGCCAAGGACCTCATAGAGTTCCTCTCTCACATGGGTACACAGATTAGTTCATTCAGAGACATTTCCATGGTGTTGCACATCACTGTATTACTAAAATTAAAACCTTAAATAGCTATTCAGAATTTTTAAAAGCAAAGCAAAGGCTTTAGGTACATGTCATGATAAGGACTGATTAGATCCTTTTTGTTGCTTTAAAGTACAGACTCACTTTCTTCTGACAGTAGCGACCTTGGTGAGTGACCCTGACTGATGTGTTTCTCTTGGCAGGGTGTCTGATGAGGGTGTCAGATGTTGAAGTGAGACAGCAGATAGTTGAATCGGTGAAATCATTCTACAGCTGCGTGGCCCCCAAACATCTGCTGGATGGTACGGCCCGTCTCACAAAGACAAAGCCTCGGACTCTCCCCTCTGAAAACCGATTTTCTAGACTTTCACTAAGTGAGGTTCTCTCATGGTGTCTGTGGTGGCATGCTTGTGCTTACGGCTTTTCTTTTTAATTTCTTTATTTATTTCTTTCGGCTGTCTTTCTGTTTAATTAAATGAAATTTAAAAAATGACACAAATATTTTCTTTTTAAAACACGTCTTACTTGCAATGATTCCAAAGATCCTAAAATCTATTTTCTCTTATTTTTTAATTATTTTCCACTGAGACTTCTAGCCTTTACATCGTGGGTCCTTCTTTCCATCAGTCATGTTAATGTTGTATTTCTTTATGTTATATATGCTCTGAGAATTTCCTTTCAATATGATGTAAATCATGTACCCATTGCCTTTCCTCTTCTGTTCCTTCTGTTCCTTTTTTCTGTTGTTATCGTTGTTATTGTCTCTTTTCTTTTTCTTACAGTTCACATCCTACATCCAGAAATGTATTCAACTTTTTCCTCCTAATTAATTTATTTCCAGGACTCCAGCCAACCTCTCCAGGCTACAGGCTGCAGCTCCTGGAGCGCAGTGACCTGGCTCAGACGTTGCTCCTCGCCATGGCCGCGTTGGAGAACCAGACCGCCATCAAGCTGCAGCTCCTGCAGACTCTTCTGATCCTCTCCGGCTCCTCTGGTCAGCAGCTGATTATGTTTAAGATTCATTGAGGTGATGGAGGAGGAGACCTGTCATAAATGTCAATCCACCTGATGACCTCCTTCATTACATGAAGCAGCCAGAACCTCAAGAGCTGAAATCATCTCATTATACCAAAGAACAATCAGACAACAATCAAAACAGTGATTTTAAGTGTCCTTGTGTCAGTGTCAACAGGTCAATGGGTTGTTCTATCATTCATCACATCTCCTTAATCACTTTTTATTCATATTTAACCACAGATTTGAACTGTGCATCGATGCTAAGAGCGGGAGGAGCAGGGACGATTTGTCTCCACATGAACGAACCCGATGCATCTGGTCAGGTTCTGTTCTGCTCCTCTGAAATCCTCTGGAACCTCCTGGAGCGAGGCAACAAGGCGGAGGTCACTGCGCAGCTCAGCAGCATGGAGTGTGTCATGTATGTGTCTTCTGTGTGTTTATGTTTTTTTTCTTTTTGGCTGATTAGGACAGTGTGCCAAGAAATCTCCTGAAGTGTATCAACATGCCTTCTTAAATACATAGATAAACAAAGTTATGATTCAAGATTTTTGTTCATGTTCAATCTTCAAGTGTTCAAGTTTGATTAATTCGGTGCTCTTATCTAGTTTCAACCTGTTTTTTTCACATGTGTCTTAGATCTCTAAAAGAGGCATTTCTTTACAAGCTGATTAATGGTGTCAATCATTCTGACCTCCAACTCCGAAATGACCTGCTGGTGATCACAACTCTCCTTGCCGATAACCCGAACTCTCTGCTCATTGTGAGTACCAGATAGATAGTGGTCAGGTGTAGTTACATTAAAGGTCACATATCCTCCTTCTCTTCAACCAGTTTAAATAAGTCTCAGAGCTCCTCAAAACATGTTTGTGAAGTTATTGTTCTAAATCCACTCTGATCCTATATTTGATCATGCCTATAAACTCCTCTATTTCAGCCCTGCTCAGAACAGGCTGTTTCTGTGTCTGTAGCTTTAAATATGTAAATGAGCTGTGTCTGACCACGCCCCCTCTCTGGAAGGGCTTGAGTGACTTGGGCTTTCTTGCTCCATGTCCTATTGTTTACGTTGAGAAGGCAGACTCAGAGGGCAGAACAAACACCTAGCTGTGGGAGTGTCACCCACCTGGGGGAGGGGTTAGTGCCCTTTGTGATGTCATGAAGGGAAACTCTCCAAACGACCTGTTTGAGCACACATTTTCTGAAAAGTGGAGCAGGCAAAAGATGGAGAAGATGGACTTTTCTCATAATCTGGGGGGTTTATTGACGGGCCAGGGACACTTATTAGTGTTAGAAAGTGTATTTTGCATAATAAGTTACTTTTGAAGGTGTTATTTTTAGTCTATTCACTGCAAAGCATTAAGATGATATATTAAGTGTGCCGCATTATGTGTCTAATTTTCAGGAAAGTCTGTTTGCCAAACAGCTTGTTGTTCTCGCCACATTTCCAGAACGTAAGGCCAATCTTTCCTTTGAAATTTAAGTGTCATTTTAAATTTAAATGGATCTGCCTATTGTACTACGTTTTATTTGTTTAACAAACTGGCTCTGATATTGTTTTAGGGAAAAGCCAAAACTCTTTGCTTGGTGACCTCAAACTCAACTTCAATAACGATGACTTGAAAATGAAGAAGCTTCTGCTGAACCTGTTGGTTTTAATGTCAAAGGACTTAAGTGCCCTGCAGGTCAGTCCCATCCTCACTTAGTATATCTAACTATTCAAAAGTACATGACAAGTCTAAATGTGACTGCCCTATCATTAATCTTCCATGTTTTCCTCTCTTAGCTCTATAAAGACGAAATGGTTATGTTGTCTCTCCTGATGCTCGTGAAGCCGCCTGCTGCCTCCTCTGGGCGGCGGTCCGGTTCACGCTGCTGGTCCTCCATCCAGCAGGAGGAGCTCATGCTGCAGGCGCTGGCCACCCTGGCTACCATCGCTCCCCTCATGTTGGATGATTTTATGACATGTCAGGGAAATGTGTGTCTGCTGCTCGTGCTGGACTGGTGCGTCACACAAGGTGAATATACAGCAAAGAGAAAGTGCCTCTCCTGCAGAATGTCAGACACTTCACGTCCTGTGAGTCCATCATCTTCAGCTGCAACTCCCAAACTCCCAGCTCTCTTACACCTAACCTAACCTGACAATTGCAGAGATCAGTCTTATAAACGGCTGCACTGGGTCAGAACACTAAGGGAGGGGTCGGGGAGGAGAGGAAGCAGTGCGCTGAGGGACAGTGTTTGTCTTGGTCTTTTTTTTTTTCTATTGTCAAGTCAAATTCTATGTATTTATATGGCACAGCAGTCAAACATTGTTATCTGACCACAAACATGGGCAAAGTGAACACTGTAGTCTTTTCATCTCTGTCCCAGATTCTTACTTTGGTCAGGGTCACAGCTTTCATGGCACAGGAGGACGAGGCAGTAAGAAGGCTCAGATGAGGCATTGCATCCGAGTGCTGAGATCTGTGACGTCATTAGGTGAAGAGTCGGTCAACCAGGACCTTTGTGATCAAGGACTCATCCACCAGCTCGTGGGTAAATGAAATGAAATCTTGACTTTCAAATCAGAAATAGCAACAGAAACCTTTTAACTCACTTACAGACATGTCTGTTGTATTTTCTTTCCAGGGGTTTTGATGCAGATGGAAGCAAGTCCTGATGAAGAGGATATAGTCACTGTGGAGATTAAGTCAGATATTCAACTAATACTGTCTGCGCTGTGTGAGAGCGACATGCACAGAAAGGTGAAGCTGAGATCATGAAAGTAGAAGGAAGCTCTAGTGCTTTAGCTGCTCCGCAAATGCAGGTCGGCCTCTCAGGAACTTAGATGTTGAAAACATAATTCAGTGGACTCCTTCTCACAGGCAAGATCCAAATACAAAGTACTGGAGCACACATTTATTTGTGCAAAGGAGTGAGGTTTCAATGCACTGCGTCTTCCTCAGAGCATGCCTGCCCACATAAATGGCTATAGGCTCCTGCAAGGCCTAATGAACAGGCCCCTCGTTATATTTATTTGCATATCAACACATGCGTGTTGGATCAGTACCTTTAGCCTCGACAATACTTGCCTCCTTGTCCTGGCTGCGTTCGATTTGCATTTGGAACTGACTTGTTTGGTAGATCATTGCTTCAATTTTAGGATGGACCTTGTTTTGGATTACCTCCGCGGGGCCCCCATGATGCTGGGCCTCAGAAAGCTTTTCCCTCTTTTCCCCCCCTTATGGGCGGCCTTGCCTCAGAGCCTAAATGTACAGGTAGAGATTTGAAAAGGCTGAATACACTCCTACTCACAGCGGGTCATCTCTCATTGGTTAATGAAAGTGGGAGGTAGAAGTGAGTGACAGCACTCGTGTCGCTCACTCATATAACATCCCATCCCAAATGTGATACAATATATGAGATTATGAGTGTGACTGAAGCACTTTGAAACTCACCTGTTGAGTTATAGAGACAGCAGCGTTGAAAAGATTCTGAGTTTGCACAGTCAGCCTTTCGATTCTGCTTCAGTTCTGATATTGGTTTTCATCTGGCCGTACTGTTTGTCCTTATAGCTCGACCATTACATCTTTTGTAACATAAGTTTAAACTTTTCTTGGGTTGATATTTGACTTTAAAAATAACTTTGATTTGTCACATACAGTTTCCTGATATGCAGTTGGTCCATATTGACAGTGCTTTGATGTGATGTTGTACCACAGGAGCTGTTTGGATCAGAGGGAGTCGAGATGACCGTTCACTTCTTGAAGAAAGGCTCCGACAAGTTCTACAGCGGTCTGGGACACAACAAACTCATCCTGTCCACAGTGGACTGTGTCTGGTCAGTTCAGATCAACCATTTATACGTCTAACTGTCCAACCAGTTGAATTTATCTTATTCATTATAATGAAACACTGTGATGAATCCATGTTTCAAACATTATTATTGCCTTCAATTTTCATGTATGGCTTCATTAAAGAGGGTAAATGATTATTATGATTATTTATCTTAAATCTGAAGTTAATTTTGAGATTAACATTTAGCTTCAGCCTCAATCACCTTTTCTTCTCAGCCAAACATTTCAGATTTATCATCCTTATAATCTTTATATGACTTAAACTTTGCTCCTATAGGTCATTTTTTAATAGCTGGATTAACTGTAATCAAGTGATATCAAGTTGTTGTAGATAAACAGGAAGTAAAGCAGTCCCCATATTCCAGCAGTTGATAAAGCCACACGTTTCCCCTCAGGTCCTGTATTGTTGGCTGCTACACCACAGAGGATTACTTTCTGGCTAAAGAGGGAGGCTTTCTTCTCTTGGAGCTCCTCAGTGTACGTAGCCTGACCTAAGTAAAAGAAGGATTTCATGTGTCATTATGCACCTAAATATAAAATATGACTATACAAATTAATAAGGTATTCCCTTTCTAAAAGTCAAGCCCCAGATGTGTTCATTGCAACATCCTCGCCGCCCTCCTGGAGCTTTGTGACAACCCGAACACGCTGTCCCACATCCTGAGCTGGAGGGGCGACGGCGGTCAGACGGCGCCTGGACTCCTGCTGCAGCTGTGGAGGGAGGAGGAGGAGGAGCTCAAAGTCAGCAGGAACAAACACGGAGGGATCGCAGGTCAGTCTGCAACTAGACTTTAAACAACAACGAGTCAATGACAAGTCTCTCATTGTTTCACTTTATTTTTGAGAATGAATCAAATGAATCAAATTTACTTCACGCGTTTTAAGCCTGACTTGTTAGTAAGAGATAATGTGACAGGTTTACTCTAAATTACTTTCTTTTTATACTCCAGAAAAGTCAGGACATTGTGTCAAATATTGTTTTTCTTCTGAAACAAAAGATGAAAGGAAAGTTGAGCTGGTGGTTACCACATAAGTGTTAGCAAAAAGTTCTTGTTCCTTCTTGAAATAACTACATCCAGTTTTATGAAGCCTGGCCATTTGTTGAAGCTGCAGCACAGTTTATACTGTACATGCTGCTGTTGCCTAGCAACAGTGATCCCATACGCTTACCCTGTTCACAACTTCAGGACACGACTTCACGACTTTACCAGTTCCATTTGAAGGCCGCACAAGTAGCTGGGCTGTGGTAACCATGGTAACAACAGAGTAGCAGGATTGCAGCAGGAAGTTTGGGTTGTTGGAAACAGATCAGTTTCAGTTGAGATGTGGGTTCAATTGGTAGAGCAAGAAATCATAATGTTGTTTGTTTAACTTTTGTCTATGTGCTGGTCGTAGAACTGTTGTGTAAAAGTGATATCACGCACGAGGCCGAGATGTAGTCCTGGATCAGAACTACAGTTAGAATCTTCTTCATGAGGCCACCAAGACAGAATCACATCAGATCTGATATTCACTAAAACATCACTCCCTCCCGTGTGATGTTACTCTACTATCTCAAAATGACATGTGTATCCCTCTCATTTCTGTTCTTCCACTTTTACCTCAGATCCCAAGAGACCCATCCTCAGCGTGTACCAGGGCGAAGACCCACAGCTGTCGTTTTCTTCTAATGAACCGAGTCCAGCAGTGCTGGAGTTAGCAGAGAGTCTACGCTCAAAGATTTACTCCATCTTCTGCAAACTTGGTAAGCTATTCAATAATAAGACATCTTTTAACTTCAATGGATATAGTCTCTCTTTTATATCAAAGCATTAATTTTCTCCATATTGACTTTATTGACACAACGTTTGATAAATAATAAACACTCTTGTTTATTCCAATATGACCATAAGCTTAATGCAAATAATTGTACAGGAAAAGTATGCAGTGGAGGTGTGTCAAGAGCAGTGTTATGGAAAAATAATCTTTTATGGGGCGCCGGATGGCCTAGCGGGTGTGTTGCATGCCCAATGTACAGAGGCTACAGTCCTTGTTGCATAGGATGTGGGTTTGAATCTGCATGTCAGCCTCCACTCTCTCTTCCAACATCTCCTGTCTCTCTTCAGCTGTCCTGTTTTTATTTTTTAAAGATTCTTTTTGAGCAATTTATGCCATGTAAAAGAAATTAAAATAATTGTTACTTTTGTAGGTTTCCAGGACCTTCCTGGTTTGTCAACAAAACATTTTGTGACCATGAGTGTCGTCAGGAGATATCTGGACTTCAAGGTACAACTGATGTTTATTCATTTAAGAACATTATAGCTCTGGAAATGAATTTAATTTGTAACTACACTAGTTTTTATGAGGGTTATATCCATTTTACAAGACATTATCATTTTCAAATTCTCCATATATAAACTATCGGATGATATTTCAATAGATTAAAAAATGTTGTGTGAAAGTGTCATTTTAATATAGAAAATCAAGGTCTCATTTTTTAAACATGGATGTGTTGTTCATGCTGCTGCAGGTCGGCGAGGTGTGGGACGAGATCAGCAGAGAGCTGAGTTCAGAAGGTGTGAGGCCGATCTCTCCGGATGAGGAGGCTCTGAGCACGATCTGTAAGATTGCAGAGGACACAGCGAGGAGGGTGGTAGCAGAACAGAACAGCATCCTGGAGCAGCGGAGGAAAGAGGAGGTCAGCGAGGAGGAGCTCGTGTACTCTGAGGTAATGAGGGTTGAGTTCAGTATTAAGAGAAACAGACAAAGTATTTTTTAGTTTTAAAAAAAAAGTTTTAGAAGATCATTCTATATCGACTGAGACTTGAACTTATCACTGCATACATTTTATCGATCTATAGATTAAATCTCATTGGAAGCAGCGAGAGCTCACAGCCAAGACCTGGGACAACTACGTTTCCAAAACTTCAAACTTTGACACCCTGAAGGTTGTATCCTTAAAACTTAGAGACATAACCTTAAGTCATCATTGCTGTTACAATGAACACATTTGATCAACAATATTTTTACTAATAAATAATTATTTTTTCTTGTTCAGGAAATCAAAGCACAGAGGGAGAAACAAAGTGAATCCTGCAGACCCAAACCTGAGGATGCTGCAGGTCGTCTCACACAGGTCTCCTACAAACAACCTTTACAACATTTAATAATGCATTAGACTTTTCTAAATACTCAAAGATGCTTAACAGCTAAAACAATACAACGAAGAAATAATGTAAAAGAAGGAGGGTGAGAGTTGAGGTAGTTAGTGGTTGTATGTGATGTTGAAGAGGTGAGTTTTTAGGGATTTCTTGAAGGAAGTGAGTGAGGGGGGAGTCTCTGATGTTTTTTGGGAGTGAGCTCCAGAGGGCGGGAGGGCAATGGAGAAGGCCCTGTTTGCAGATGAGAAATACGAGCAGTAATATTTTTTTATTTATTGAGCACTTTTCTGATCTCTGTCCAGAAAGTGCTTCACAGAGGATAGCATGTTTGTAACTTGCAGATAGGATAGTAGCAAATAATAAAATAAAACATTATAACACAAAATGAAAGTGGAGGGAATTATCAAATCATGAAAAGTGTCTGATTAGTGTTTTATAAAGACATTATAAGAAGTTACTGAGTCTGCTGAAACAATTCCATCGAACATCCCTTTAAAAACAAAACTAAAAAAACCTTCAGCTAGATGGCTCGATCAGTTCTGCTGACAAGAATTATTCAGACTTTTACTGACCTCTTCTGGCAAACACTGGGAACATCATCAATGAACTACTGCAGATCCTCTTTTCTCCTTCACTTCTACTTCACACATCGGATACATTAGGCTGTTTTCGGACCGAAGGAGCTTTTTCATAGATCTAGGAACTGTTGGATACCTCCCCGTGTTTTATTGATTACTCACCTCAGGAGATATGCACTATTTGAACCCCGTTTAGAGGAACCTTTTTAAGCTCCTGCGTCAGAGTAGGTACCGTGGTGGTGCAAATGTAGACAGAAAAAAAAGTCCCCATGGTCTTCTCAGGGAAAAACAGTTCCTCTACAAAAAGTCCCCAGAACTGTTTTGTCCGATAACACCTATTATTGAAACAATAAAAAAAAAAACACGAGGTGATTGATGCAGAAACAACAGAAGCATTTAAAAAGAGATTAAATGCAATAAAATAGAGATCATTTGTTTGGTTTAAGGCTTGAAAATTTGAGTGTAATAAGTGTGAATGGTTTTTCATTTGGGACATTTTTTATCTGGTTCACAAACGAGCTAAAAAAAAAGTGTGAAGTCAACACTCTGGGAATTAATCAGCAAGAAGGAATCATTATAAAGGAACAATTATTGAAAATGTTGTTTTTTCCCTCTGAGGCTGTAACAAATATCACTGCTAAGCCATCTGGCACTGAGCTGTGAAGACTGAAGAGGAGATCTGTTCAATCATATAAACAAGTGTTCTTTTTCGTCTGTGTTTTTCAGCATTTCATCGGTAAGGTCGTAGCTGTAGAGACCACTGACGCTCCGGGACCGGCAGGAGTGAAAGTGACGATCGCCAGAGCTTCCATCAATTCTGCGGGTCAGGACCGAGAGGGAGCAGCAAGACACGACCAAGAGTACTTCAGCACGGTTTCTGTAAAAGACTGATAACAGCAAAGACTCTGATTCAATACAAACCCTGTACATTAATACTGCATCTTTATTTTTATTTTCAAATCTTACAAACACAGCACAATCATGCATCGTCGTTTCTTTAAGAGCAGATTCAGTCAATAATGGAGAGTTTTGTGTGACTTTTGCAGAACATGTAGACGTGAGGTCACTGGATGTGCACAATCAGCATCTTGTAGTCTAGTCCACCTCTGACACCCTTATATGGACACAGACACACACACACACACACACACACACCACACACACACACACACACACACACACACACACACACTCACACACAGCACTGAATGATCTTTGTGTTCTGATGCACATTACAACTTCTTAGAATCATGTTTATTGAATAGATAAAAACATTTTATTTCGTGGTTTTTTAGAAAGGAAATGTAGTTCAAAAGTGTAATTCTTCACGACATGCAGAGCTTTACATGTTCAGCCACAACAGTCTGAATGTTTTTCTATGCATTATTTATTCTTTTATGTAACCACAGGGCAGCATGAACAGTGAGACCCTCGACAATCAATGTGGCATCAGGGAAACTGGGACCTTATGTAACGTCACAATAACCAATAAACCCCTTTAAACCGAGGATATATCTCCAGCTCAGAGGAAACGCTGAAACTAAAAGCTACAGCTCTTTGTGTGTGTGCAGCTGTGAACACCCTTTAAGGAAACCCCAGGAAGGACTCCAAAGAGTTTCATCTTTACTGTTTTTGTGTTACATAAGTCACTGCAGCGCATTAGCACACATGTTCCTCCGAGCGTGCAACATGCTGCACAGAGACACTTGTTCTCTCCCCGCTCTCACCCACTTTACTGCCTGGATGGTCAAATCATCTCTGACAGGCCGAAGCTTTTCATGCAGCTCTGTCTGTGTGTGTGTGTGTGTGTGTGTGTGTGTGTGTGTGTGAAGCCCGTCAGACTGGGATGTTCATGCTGCACAAAAGAGCAGGGACACACAGGAGCCTCTTCAGTGCGAAAGGCTGCCGCTGTTTGTTCAGGCTGCTGAGGGGCTTCACATGCTGACTGACTGTCTGGCTGTTGGTGGGTGCTGAGCTGCTGATGAAGGTGAGGGGCAGCGTGGGTGCTGTTATTAAGGAATCCTGCTGGGTGCTCGTCAACTTCCCTGAGGACCCGTTAACTTCTGTGAGAAACACTTTTTTTTCTTGTTCACTCTTTAGCTGTTTGGTCAAAGTTAAAGTCATCAGTCAGCTTGTTTTTTTTGTTTTATATTTCAGACGTTAAAGACATTTGAATTAAATATATTTAAAGATCTGATCATTTAAAGATTTTACCCCCAAAGAAAAATATCATGCTTCAGTAACAATATGATAAACTTTTGTGATTGCTGTTTGAGAGTTGTCTTCCAACAACTTCTGTGGCTGCTGTCTTTGCTATCGAGTGATAAAGTAAAGTTAAACTCAACACAGAGAGATCGAAACTGTATTTAATGTCATTTCCATCAGAAACAGAAGATTCCACATGTATGTTCAGATGTGAAAACACTGCTAAATTATTCATGGAACACTTATATAACATTACTTGTGAATGAAAGTGAAAATGTGCAAAATAATAAGAAACATTTGTGAATGTCTTTAGAGCGACAGCTGTGAGCTCCTGTTTCTTTGTTTCAATGCTTTGTTTATTTGTTTTAGTTTTAACATCAGAATCAGAATCAGTGTTTATTGCCATTTACACATACAAGGAATTTGACTTAACAAGGAAATATAAAAAACAGCAGAGCTCCTGCTGACAGCTTAAATAGGAATAAGGTAAAGGCTTTTAGAAAATGTATAATAGAATATAAAATGTAAAAACACAAAAATATAAGAAAAATGAAGCAATGACAAACATTAAACATTCAGTACTAACCAAGACAAAGACTTTGGACATAAGGGGGGGGAGAAGCAAAAAAAACACAAAAACAAATGAACATGATGAGGATAACACTTTTACACACATCCTTTGTTATTTATAATTTTTTATCATTTAAACTCTTCTCTCCCAGCCAGCATTTTGCTACTTTTTCCATTTCTTAAAGTCAGATGATCAACCTCTCTGTTACGTCGATGTTTTAAATCCAGAATATCTGCAGTTAAAGCAGTAAATAGTTATTATACATGAGGTGAATTTATCTGTCTATCATGAGATTATTTATAACTATTTAGTCAAATGCTCTTATCCTAAACTCATGATTTTTATTTATTTAACCAGGTTGGTTCCATTGAGATGAAGAAACTCTTTTCTAAAGGAGACCTGGCCGAGACAGTCAGCAGCAAAAACACAAAGTTACAGACAGAGACACAAAGAGAGACAATTTACAAAAACACTACATTTTTCATTAAAGGAGAATCATCTATGAGTCAAATCTGGGAGTCAGTAGCTCAAGCAGTCGAGCTAAAGCATAGTCATCATGTAGAGTCTGCTTCCATGACTTTCATTTTAGATTTAAAAATATTGAAGGACACCAGCTCCTTAAGTTTTTCTGCAACAGATTCCAGGCTGAGGGTGCAGAACACCCAAAAGCCCTTTTTCCAATTTCTGTCAGAGCGTTTGGGACAGAGAGCATAAAAAGGTCCTGAGAACGCAGAGAGCACTGTCCGGTCCTCTTCTGATACTGTCTGATGATAAGTTGTGAGAAGAGGATTTTGTTCTCATCGTCAAAAGCATCCAGAAAGTCTAAAAAAAAAAACTCCTGTGGATGTGTTTCTCAAGGGAATCAGACTTTTTATCTCCTGCAGAGTAAACTTGAACTTGTGGAGGAGTGATTACGTTTTATTTTTTCTTCTCTCCTGCAGAGAGTTGTTGACTGATCTGTGAAGCTCCAGCAGCAGAAATGATCATCAGACTGGGAAGACTGACACCAGGATACTTCCGTCTCCTGCAGGTAGGTCAGAAATCTGAAACATATTTTTCACCAGGTGTAAGTTTCTCCCTGAGAAATGTGTTTTCTGTGTGCAATAATAACACAAACATCAATAACATTATAACTAATTTCAATCCAAGAGCACAAATAAATAAATCCACCGTGAAACTAAATGCTTCAGTAAGGATTTAGTGTGAATACATGGCTGATTGTTTTTAAATATCTTGATAGAAATGCTTAAAATTGAGGCAATAAATATTTTACAGAGAGATGACGGCAGCTCGTCTCAGGAGGTTTCATTACATAACCTATTCAGACTGAGAGCTCTGGATGCTGAAGGATAGAGAAGTGATTTCATGGCACAGAGTAGTTGTCGCAGTTGTATTTTCTGACCACCAGGTGGTGCAAAAGTCTGGATTTCATATTCTACACAATGTAGCTTGTAGCATTGAAACATAAGAAAATATCTTAAAAACTCAAACTCAGCTGTTTATCAGGAGGCTCAGAGCCCAGCTCCGCTCCACCTTTTTGTCTGTTACTACGAAAATGATGTTCAGAAAACATTTTCAATATGGCCACTGTCATCGCTAGACTTCGAAATTCCACTTCAGTAACCACCGGGTGATGTCACTGAGACTACGTCCATGTTTCTGTGTGCACCTGTACGACTCGAGAGGGAAAGTCTCAAGGTTTAAAAGTTATTATAATGTTATACTTTGTTCAAGTGATGAACCAGCTGATACTGTCACACCAACCGAGCATCCACCTTTAAGACTCCAGCAACAGAATGACAGCCAGGCACAGATAACAAACCAAACTATGCGTAAACCCCAAGCGGCAGCGTTCAGTGTTGAAAAATGAAGCAAATGCGTATATGCAAATAGCTGTCCAGGTGTTCCTCTGGTTATCTTCCCCTGTGTGTGTGTCCCTGTCGTGTTGTGCAGACAGAAACTCAGTGTTCCGGTTTTCATTTGACCAAAGTACTCCCCACATTTCATTGACTCAATAGAAAGTTCCCAGACAGAAAAGACAAATCAAACACACTGTGGCTCTGACGGGAATAATAAAACCACCTCAGGTATAAGAATGATAAATTGTCCTCTCATCAGACTGTTGTGTGTTTGTCTTCATCTTCCTCTCCTCTGCAGCGTCAGGTGTCAGGTGAGGTCCGGATGCAGCCTCAGAGCAGCCTCATCGATCCCATCGCCATGGCGATGGCCACACTGGGGATGGGAGTGTCTCTATACAGCGCCAGACAGATGTCAGACAGGGTCCAACTGAAACATCACCACGCCTGAGATTAGCAGAGGGGGGGAAAAAAAACACCCAGCAGCAGCAGAGCGGCTGTGTGTGTGTGTGTGTGTGTGTGTGCGCGTGTGATTGTGGTGTACGTCGCAGAAGGTTTGAGATGGAGGTTGGAGAGAGTTTTCATGTGTTTGTGGTGTTGATTGAAGGAAAGTCTAAGTGTCGCAGCAGAGAAAAAGTGAGTCAGTGATCGGGAAGTTTTGTCATTAAGTCGAAAGGTTACACTTTCTGTCAAATATAAAAGAGAGAGTTGTAGTTTGAACACTTAAAGTAATTGTATTTAAACCAAATAAATGAGCATATGACGGCTTTGTAGCTAAAACCTTCAGCTAGTCCCAATATTTTGTACTTGTAAACATTGTTAAATGAGAATGTAGGAAAATCTCCATTTGTTGCAAGCACCTTAGTCAAAAGATCTCAAAGTAGCTTCTTCCCTTTGAGTATTTATAATAGAATGAGCATTCCAGCTGTTACAAAAGACATTTTATCAGGGCTGCTTAGGTTTGCTTGATTAAAAAAACATCACTTTTTACCGGAATTTAATAAAGATAATGTCTGTAAATGTAAAATGTCACTTAAACTCACTTGGTAATGAATCACAGTTGTTGAATAAATGTTCTTCTCAGTTAAAGACGTTCACTGTTTATAAAATCTGTGTGCAGATATCTAAAGAGCGATGTGTTTTTTTGTAACGTTCAACCAGCTCTGTAGGTCTCAGGCTTCAACCACGTGGGAAAGTTGAGTGGGAAACAGAAGTTCTCGGGCGGCTGCACAGTCTGAATGGAGCGACTCAGGTGGATAAAACTCAGACAGAGGAAGTGATTTCACAGCGAGGCTCGGTGACATCCAGAGATTCTGAGATAAAAAAAAAAAAGGAAAACATAAAACTCTCTCATAATGTCTCTTTAAAGTGTCATGTTAACAGGATATTCAAATTAAAGATTTAAAACACAGAGCCATACATACTGACTATGATGTGTATTCTCCGAGCAGCAACATGCAGTTCCTCGAGTGTCCACTTGAGGCTGGCTGCAGTCGCTCCAGACGTCACATTAACACCCCATGTTTATACGCATATATATAATATTATAATGTTGGAAAAAAAAATTTAAACGCAAGATACACACTTGTTGGCGTAATCCCCGGACGTGGTTTCCTGCTGCTCTGAACGAGATGTTACGAGAACTTTGCGGGACTTGGCCAGTCGTCGTATTAAAGCAAAGTTGCAGACATGCCCACAGGGACGCTCACCCAAATTTCCCCGCAACTGCAAACAGAGCTGGCCAATCGGAGGAAAGTGGGCACGTGAGGAAGGCGGGCCTTAAAGAGACAGTAGCTGAAAAGAAGTGTTTCAGGCCGAGGCTGAAATGAGGGATTTTACTGACGGCAGTATCAGATAAATAAGGAGGTTTTTGAGCAACACATCTCACAACGCTACTCAACAGGTGTCCTAGACTGACGTGATGAATGGTGGAAGTGAGGATAATAGATCTCCTTTAATGTGGGAAAAGAGTTCTTCATAATACAGAGCCTGGATTATGAAACCAACCAGAAACCAATAGGTGACATCACTGTGACTATGTCCATGTTTTATACAGTCTATTTTCAGACAGTTGACAAACATTACCTTTATTTTATAATTTTACAACCCCTTAACTCTGTACACAAAACAAACTGCTTCTTTATTTATGTTTCCATCTCCCTAGACGGGCCGACTGAAGTCAGGCGTGGAGGTCTGACTCTGTGGGAACCGGCCGTGTTGTTGTTTTTACTGATTCTCCTCTTATGGGGCTGACAGACATGAAGAGGCCATGTGAGCGCTGAAGTATTATGTTTATCCTGACATTATCTCAATGCTATTTAAAAAAAACAAATCATCACTCTACTTTATTAATTTGAGATGTTACAGTTAAGAGGCTTATTTTAAAAACATGTTGTGAAAATTCTAATTCTTCAACTCTGATGATAAAAGAGATTTCCAGTGAGTTGTTATTCAGGAAATGTCAGAGAGTCTGCTCCCATAAAGAAACCAAACAATAGATGAACAGGGAGAAGATCGATTGGTCTTAGAGGCTGGAGATGGATCCTCTCTGGATCACCGGCAAGCGGGCTCGTCTCGTCATGATCTTAAATCTTCTCTCCTGCAAAACAGCGAGCAGGAAATGGAACCGAGCCGAGCTATTGGCTCAGCTCTATTTCACACAGCTTAAACACTGCACTGTTGAGCAGAAGCTTTAGTATGTTCCCAGCTGTGATAGTTTGTACATATACAACTGTTACTAAACTACACAGGAAATCAATAAAAAATAATTCAAATAAATCATACAGATTAACATTTTATCTTTGCATTTTTTTTTTTAATCCCACAGGGGAGAAATCACTTTTACACTATTTTATCACACATAAGGCTGAAATACACACACATGCACAAACAGGATGCTATGGACAAATTGGGGGTGTGGTGCCTTGCACAATGGCTCACAATGGGGTGTGGTTCCTTGCACTTGGTAGTGGTGGGAAGGGACCTGGCACCTCTCCAGCTGCCAGACCAATGTCCAGACTTGCATTTGGACTTGAACAGGAGATCTTGCAGCTTTAGACCCAAGTCTCTACAGACTGAGGAACTGCGGCCCCACGCCACTCATGCAATAAAAAGCAGCATGAAATTAGAACGACAAAATAACTCAAAATTGTATTAAAGCACAGAACTAAAGTAGATTATTGTGCTTTGTTGCCTTCCAACACAGTTGTGTGCTTGTTGTTGGGGGCTGTAAGTTGGTCGTTGTTGGTGTCCTCCCCTCCAGCAGATGTCGCTCTCACTCTGACGCCACTTTGCGTTTCGAGTAAAGCGAGAAAGAGTTCAGCGTGACAGCTTTCAGCCTGATGGATGATGATGCTGCCGCTACCTGATGCAAGTTGTGGATAAGAGGACTGCACAGGCGACAACGATCGAGCCACACTTTAAAGCAGCTCAGCAGGAGAGTAAGAGACGATTGTAATGTTTTTATGCAACTCAAACCGGATTTTTCGTGTATAACTATGCGTAATTTTGAGAACCTTTGGGAGTTTGTGCGTAAAAGTTTGCGCGTCTCCCCGGCACGCCGCACTCGCTCTCCGCACCATCCTCATCTTCACCTTCACCGGATCTAGAGCTGAGCAGAAGCAGTTCAGCCGTCTAAACAGCCTGAAAACATGGCTGTGCTGCTCCGTCCCGCCCGGAGGAGCTCCGGTCTGCTCCTGGCGGCGTTTCTGTGCGTTTTGTTTCTCGCTTTCGTCTCTGCCTCTTCCGCGAGTCGTGATGTTGTTTCAGGAAACAACGAGACGAGGAGAAATCCAGCCGGAGGAGTGACAGAGGAGGACTCCCATCACCAAACTAACACCACCACTCACAAGAAGAAGGCTTTCCCCGTCCTCTCCTTCAAATACGAGCACGTCAGGAAGCCCTTCGAGATCTCTCTGTGGATCCTCCTGGCTATGCTCATGAAACTTGGTGAGTGAAATATGACTCCAATCACTGATTGATCTCCTACTGGACTACCTCCAGCATTAGTGAGCAGCTGCAGGGGTTAAAATGAAAGGTACTGATCATCCACACTGAAGGGAGGAGGCTCCAGACTGACATCTATAGTTTTTTTCTTGTGTCGAGCTTCCTGAAAGTTTGCAAAATGCTTCAGGTTTATTTTTATATCAAAAGGTCATGCAGTTCAAAATGAAGAAGAAGAGGAACTAGCTGGAGTAATGAAGCAGCAGAGACAAAAATACACACCAGGCCAGCTGGGAAACATAATGCACATTCATTATGAGTGGAAGCCAAATATAGAAACAAACAACCAGCTGATGAGTTGAAGCATTAAGGAACTTTATTTATAGAACTCCTTTCGAGTACACACAAAAGAAAACAAGGTATGTACAAAGAGAGCCAAACAAATACAGTTAGGTGTAGAGGGTGAGAATCACAGGGGAAACGGTGCACGATATGAAATGTGGCTCAGGGTAATGAAAATATCAAAATATCAAAATGGGATGGGAATAGAAGAACTCATGAAACAGTACGATACGGTACACAATATGTGGCCCGCGATAATGAAAGTATCTCATGTTGATATTTTGGATGGACTTCTAGGGAAACTCCCGATACACGATGTAGGAGCAGATTATCAGAATAATATGAGGTGTTTTGTGTAACAGGGGGGGGATTGATGGTTACCTCTGTACAGTATAAGGTAGGAACCTTTGTGAAGTGTTTCTTGTTACAAGCAGGTGTTTTTTTTTTTTTTGGTACAGAAATATGGACATGTGGAGCCAAGGAACGTAAGATAATCAAATGGCACGTTCAACAGTTCAGTTTGACTTTAATTCATCTAACAAGGTAACGTTAGTCCAGGTGCAGCGCCACGATCCGATACATGATAATCACCATCAGCACACTAGAGTCACGTGCAGTATTTCTCTGCATCAGCCTGAGACAACACGTCCCTCATCAGGGCTGAGCGTATGATCATGATTTCATCATTATCGTTCAATTAAAAACATGCATGTGCACATTTCACCTGTTGGATGGAGGCCTGGGTATAATGCTCATGCCTTCACATCATGTGGATGCAGACAGACGAAGCTAGAGCTAGCTACCAGCTACCTTTTGTTATATGTACCATTTAACAAGTGATGAGTGCAGGTATACATCATACAGCGACCTCTTTCGAGGCTCAGTAGGGGCCATTTGTTATGAAAGACTGGAACATGTGGTTGGTGCCAATTTAATTGAGGAGAACAGAGGTGCTGCTTGTCAACAGCCTCCCCCTCCCCTTAACTTCAAACCGTAGCAGTGTCCCAGAAATAGGCAAATATTACAATGACAGTAGGAAACCTCCCTTAAGGGGGCCCCATCTGACAGCACTCAATGTTCTTTAAATGCTAAGTGTTTAGAGAGAAAAAAAAACAGTGATTTTGGGTTCAGGGTGGATGTATTGCAAACACAAATATTGCATAAAACATGAAGAACGGCAGGTTGTCATAGAAACTGAGATGTAGCTCATATGCATTCTTAGTTTCTTTAAATCTTAATTCATATCTTTATGGCATCATAGAGTAATGTTCACCTTTACTCATCTTTACCGTCGTTTTCAGATGGATGAAACCTGTTGTTGTTTGTTAAACAATCAGAAACATCTGTCTCCCTCAAACGATTAAACACTGTGATGAACACTTTCAGCACAGAGCCAAACCCCAAACTTTACCCCGAGGATTTTTCTAATTATGAATATTATGAAAATGAGTCTCCTAAAGACAGTCCTCATGTTTTCCAGCTTTAACTGCTGACAGAGATTCCTCTGCAGGCTTGAACAGAAGTCTCATCATGTTTCCTCAAACTGCTTCGGTTATGATGCACGAGTTCAGGTTGTGATGGTGTGATGCATCTCTACATGTCTGCCATTTAAACTCTACATCACCGTCTTGTTTTAGTTTCATTCAATAGAGCCAAATCAAGGCATTTGAAGATATTATGATAATTGAGAGCAAACTGCAGGTTGATTTCATAAACATTTTATAAAATGTTGAAGCATGTTGGTCGATTATATTGTTTCAAACTCTAAATATTAAAATCAAAGACTTGTTTTGGACCAAACAAAATACATTTGGTTTTAAAGGAGGAGTTCGCACATCCAACTATCTCATGAGGTCGGTGTGTTCGACATAAAGCTGTCACAATGAAACGATCCTGCACACTCCTTTTGCTCACCATCGACAATTTGTTGGAGAGAAAAAGACATTTGATGATGAAAAAAATTTCAGTTTAAGCTCCAGAAATGATAACAAAAAATGTACAAAACGTAACTCTACGTAACTAACTTTATGTCACATCACATCATCAACATATAATATCTGTTTCATGTTCTCACACATTTAAAGGATGTAAGGGAGTCTGACGCAGCCTCACATGACACCGATATCTGATTGGTGCGCTCCTGACAGCTACAGCCATCAGTACAATCAGGTTCAGGCGTTTCACAGGACTTTTGAATGACATATATGCATTTTGATTTTTTTTCACTCTTGCATTATCCTTCATGTCACCGTGGTTGATGTGACCGCAGCGTGCAGTGAGGATTCTGATTGGCTGTGTGAATCTGTCGGGCAGTTTGTCGTTGGCTGACGGAGCAGAAAGAAGAGCTCTGGCATCTTATCTGTTTCGTCCAGCTGCTGTCTCCGAGGGGCCGGTCCCACATCCTGTCCTAATGCACTGCTCGATAACAAAGAACGTCAGTGTGCGGAGTCGGAGAGGAGAGGAGGGGGCGAGGACGGCCGAAACATGGCTGAAGACTTTTGTTAGAGCAGCCGGAGTCACGAGAGAGCGTGAATGTCAAGGCGCACTTCGGACTGAGAGAGAGATGATGTTAGCATTCAGTCAAATAATGACTAAAGTAGGACTTATTTAAAGGGGACATATTCTGAAAAATACACTTTTTTCAGAGTTTTTGAACATTTATTTGGGTAACCTGAGAGTCTGCCAACCCACAAAATGTGAAATAAACCCATCCAGTCCTTTGTTTGTGGTCTGCATAAGTCTTACAACACAGAGGAAAATGCTCTGTTTCAATTTTCTCAGTTTGTGATGTCACAGTGGGATTCTGGTTAAAAAAAATCCCCTCTCCACCCGTGGACTCCACTCGTCGTCTAGAACAAAACTTTTGCGCAGGTCCGCCTTTTTTATTCTCCCTACAGAGGAGTGATGTCTACGGGGAAAACTCAGGGGGGGCTCATTGCATTTAAAGAGACACACACACCAAAACGGAGCGTTCTGAGAGAGCTGGTTTATACAGGGTCACAAACCTCCTCTGCTGCTTGATTCATGTTATATTTTGACCAAAGCACAGCACAGATGTTTCATTTAGACCACAGGGGGACTGTTTGAAAAGGTGGAAAAGGCTGAGTAATAATCAGATTGTTCATCTCTGCAGTAGATATTATTCAGAACAGATTGCAACATAACTTTAAGCTGTATCATTACCGGTGTCATCATTGACTCATGTTGAGCAGGCTGCAGAAAGTCGTCTAACCCGAATGATGTCTCAGCTCTGCATCTAAATCAGGGAATAAATCCAAAAAGTTGTCTCTCCACTCGTCGATCTTGAAGTTGACTTTATAAATTTGGAACCTCACAACGTATGATCTCAACTACCAATAAACGAGCCTCTCCAATGAAGTCGTTTAGACATCATAGACAGCATCTGAATACACAAACACAGACGCCACATGCTAACAGTGTGCAAACAACGCGCTGAAGATGCCAGCGGTCATATCTCAGTTGATGTAAACTGGGTGTAAAAATGTGATTGTGACGCTAATAACAGATGTTCTTTCAAAGCCAAGAATAATGTTTTAGTCACTGTTTAATTTGATTTGACTCCTTCACTGTTTTGGAAAGTGTTCTGAAATGTGAGGAACGGCAACTCGTCTCTGTTTTGATTCTTTTCAAACTCAACATCCGTGTTAGTGACTGATGTTTACGTCAAACAAGCCACAAAGAATTTAAATGTCTAACACTTTATAACCTGCTGGATGAAACAGCTCGTTAAACAGATTCATCAAGAAGTCATGCTTCCTCCTAGCACTTTGATTTTTTTAGTTTGAGCTAGCATAGAGGCTAAACACAAAGAATTTCAAATGAAGTGATGTCATTAGAAAGTTGCTGTGGTGCCTGTTGCCAAGCTGCTGCTCTGACGCACTCGGTGATGTTTCACCAGATGTAGACACACTGAGTGATAACATGACATCGTCTTGACATTGAGAGCTTATAAACACACTGTCCTGATGCCGTCTCTCCTCGATCGCTTTATTCGTTCGAGAGCATCTTAAGTCGAAAGTTTTCTTTCAGGTTTGTGTGAGGGAGGAAATGCTGATGACGTGACCTCGTTCATTCTCTGAAAGTCTCTCGAGTTTGATAAATTCAAGCTCTTAAAAAAAAAGTTAATCTGTTCTGCACATGTTAAATTTACAAATTATCCCTGCACTCATGTTCACTTCATTTGTCTGTCTACTCGCCATTATATTGTATAGTTTCTGCTTATTATATGTTTACACTCATGCACTTTAACTTATGTCAATACTGTACATTTACTACTCTGTTTTTGCACATTTACATTCAATCTTCCATATTTAATTTACAACCATTTACGACTCTGTTTTTGCATTTTACATTTAATCTTCCTATTTAAGACTAGTAATGCTTAGTTAAATCCTGGTTGTATATATTCACATTCTTAGTTTTGATATTTTTAGTGCTTATTTACTTTGTATTTAATATTATATTATGTTTAGATTTGCTAACATTGTGTTTTTTTACTCATATTGTGTGTTTGGATAACCTGCTGCTGTAACGCCACAATTTCCCACTTTGGGATCAATAAAGTAATTCTATTCTATTCTATTCTATTCTAAAAATAATAGAAACTTTTTGATTCCTCTGCAGGTTTCCACATTATCCCCCGAGTGTCAAACGTCGTGCCGGAGAGTTGTCTGCTGATCTTTGTCGGTCTGCTTGTGGGCGGCATCATCAAAGCCATCGGAGAAGAAGCCCCCATCCTCGACGACAAGCTCTTCTTCCTCTACCTGCTGCCTCCCATCATCCTCGATGCCGGCTACTTCCTGCCCATCCGAGCCTTCACGGAGAACCTGGGCACCATCCTGGTGTTCGCCGTCATCGGGACCCTGTGGAACGCCTTCTTCATCGGCGGGATGATGTACGCCGTGTGTCAGATCGAAGGAGCCGGGCTGGGCGGCGTGGACCTGCTCTCCTGTCTGCTGTTCGGCTCCATCATCTCGGCCGTGGATCCTGTGGCCGTGCTGGCCGTGTTCGAGGAGATCCACATCAACGAGCTGCTGCACATCCTCGTGTTCGGAGAGTCGCTGCTCAACGACGCCGTCACCGTGGTGAGTGAAGTGGACGGAGACAGTTTATACTCTTACTCAAACAGCAGCTTTGAGATAGACAGGTTTGAGTTCCGTCTTCTTCTACTCGTCTTGCTTTCAGTGGGACGTAAATGTTCTCCAGATTGACTTTACTGAAAATGTAAAACGGTAAATGGACTTGAGGTTTTGTATTTCTTTTCCCGTTTTTTGACTACCCAACGCACTTTCACACCGCAGGTCACACCTACACATTCACACACTGATGGTTTTGATTTGTAGCTAGTTACCCCAGATAAAGAAGGGAAGCAGAAGAAAGACACGGAAGGAGGGACAGAAGGAAGAACGAAAGAAAAAAAAATGCACAGGTGGATAGAAAGAGGAAAAGGAAGGATAAACAGGAAGAAGGAAGGAGAATGAAAGAGTGGTGGAGGCTGGAGGAAAGAAAGAGGGGGTTAAAAAATTCAAAAGTGAGAAGGGAGGAAGGATTTAAGAACAAAAAGGATTAAAGGAAGGAAGGAAATGTGCCAGGAAAGACAGAAAGAAGAAATGATTGGATGAGAGGGGAACAGAGGACGGAGGTAAGAAATGGAAAAAGGAGTAAAATCATGCGAACTAACGGCATGATGATGATTTAGTAAAGTTTAGGTTCTTAGAGAGAGAGAGAGAGAGAGAGAGAGAGAGAGAGAGAGAGAGAAGAGAGAGAGAGAGAGAGAGAGAGAGAGAGAGAGAGAGAGAGAGAGAGAGAGAGAGAGAGAGAGAGAGAGAGAGAGAGAGAGAGAGAGAGAGAGAGAGGACATGCGGGAAAGGAGCCACAGTTCAGATTTGAACCTGGGCCGCCCGCCTGGAAGACCGCAGCCTCCATATATGGGGCGCGCGCACTTGAAGTCATTAAACGTTTGAATGAAACTCAAGAATCGATATAGGACTGAGGACGCCTTTTCTCTCTCTCTCTCTCTCTCTCTCTCTCTCTCTCTCTCTCTCTCTCTGCTCTCTCTCTCTTCTTCTTCTCTTTTCTCTCTGTCTCTCTCTCTCTCTCTCTCTCTCTGTCTCTCTCTCTCTCTCTCTCTCTCTTTCTCTCTCTGTCTCTCTCTTCTCTCTCTCTTGTCTCTTCTCTCTCTCTCTGTCTCTCTCTCTCTCTCTCTCTCTC